ATTCCTTTCCATCAAAAAAAGTGGAGAATAAAAAAGAAAAAAGTCCGTTTAGCTGTCCTGTGATAGAACTTTGCTCATGACTTCTGTGGTTGCCTTTCTCTCTATTTAACCTCTGCAATGACTTTCCAGAGCCTTTATTTTTAGCAAACCCTTCCTGAGGAGCACATAAAGGAAGGCTGTCCTCAGGCTGACCATCATTTTTAGTGTCCTTCTCAGAGGAGTTGACGGGTGGTCATCTCGTCAAAGGTCACGTCATTTGCTCTGTTGTACAGGGCATGTGCAATCTTGAAAGTCTGTTATAGTGAAATTAGCCTTTAATTTAATTCCCAAGTATTCTGTGTGACTTCACTGCTGAGAGTAAATGGAGTTTACGTGGGAATTAAATGTCACTGCAGACGCACTCTCCTCTCTCTGCTGGCCTGGGAGCTGGGCTGTGTGTCAGAGCTCACACCCCAATTATTTTCAAAATTACAGACATGATCTGGGTGCAGGTGCACAACCTTGTACTCATCTTTGTTAGACTCGATACAGTTCTTACTGGGGAACTGTGGGAACCCTCAGCAGTCTCCTGGAGAAACCATCACGTTGTTGCTCTGCTCTTGTTGCCAAACTACTTTTAGAAAGTTTGCAGTTCTCTGGTTTGGCAGCAGGAGTGCTTTGGTGCTGGGTGGCTGCACCCATGAATGAAATCAATGGCAAAAGCCAAGCTCCTGGTGGACCTCTGGAGTCTTCACCTTGGGGTGTTTTCAGGGTTGCTGTGGGGAAAGTTTAATATTTTGTTCACGTCAGTTTTTATTAATTGTTACTCAGAGCTGGCTTTTGCACTCCCATGTCTTCTCCCCCTCCCTCCCCTCTCTGCTGAGTGACCCACCCTTGCTTGTGTCCTGGTGAGCAGGGTGAGGTGTCCCTCTGTACCCTATTCCCAAATTTCACACACCTTTAACAAAACCTAGTCCAGTCTGCCAGTGCTTCTGGGTTTGTGTGGCAAGACAGGCTGATGCTGCCATTAGGTTGAGCTTCCAGAGGGTTTAGTGTTTTTTCTCTCCTTTTTTCCCACTGCAGTTTGCAATATCTCTTTAAAAATTCCCTTGTTGAGCCAAGATTTTTTGGTGTAATCACCAACTGTGTTTTCCTGACTCAGTGGGAGGGCAGAGCTGTAGGTGGCTGTACCGACCAGAACTTCTATTTTCTTAACTTTCTTTCTTGTGCAGCTCTGAACTGCAGTGTGGCATTTCTGTGGGGGGTTTGGTCCTAAATATCCCTTTGTTGGGAAAGGTCAGTCACAAGGATGTGCTGGCACAGATGCAGGGACAGACTGTGCCAGCATGTCAGATGTACTCATATTCCAATTCCAGATTATCCCTTCTTGGGGAAAAATGAAATTGTTGTGGTTTAAAGTGGCAAAGAAGTAGTCTATTGGAGTGTTTATCAGAATTTCATGGATGTTTGGGGATTTCCTGTCTGTGGCTGCTGGGGCACACACCTAACCAGAAGATATTGCAGATGCATACATCTGCAACCCAAAGCCTCTCTAAGGTGGACACAGGGGAACGTTGCTATTTTGTACTTGTGTCCCAATGCACGATTTTTCAAGGTATGGATGCAATTGTAACAAGAGTTTCTAAGTTTCACAAAAAAAAAATTATAATCATTAATAGTTAAGACAATTTTATGTCACTTCCAGCAACTTCCCTACCACATCCAGCAAGTCCTTCCTGTGCCTGCTGTCATGTTGGTACAGGAACATCCTCTCTGTGTCTTGCTGCTTAGTGAGCTCTGAGAGAAAGAACAATCAGTTTGGGTAATAAAAATGACATACAAAAGGCAGAAGCTTTGATTTATTTTGGGAGATCGAGTAGAGTGGCAAGCAGTACTTTAAAGGTCACTTGTCTCAAATAAACCTTATCTCTCTCTCTCCAATTTAAAGAGATATTGTGGTGTTTCCTTGCATCTAACTTGCATTAAATGTCCTTTACAAGAATATATTGCAGAGTCCAGCAGAAGTGTTGTACATACCCTTTATAGGTGATGGAAATGAAGGGAAGGCTGGCAGGGGGAATGATTAGAAGTAGTAAGTTGATTAGAAATACTCCTTTGGGAAGGCTGGTGGTGCTTTGAGTTGGTCTTCAGTGAGTTTTTGTGAAAATGGCATACAAAGTATATCCACAACTTGCTTATTTTGAGAGCCACGTTCTGTTCCAGCGTTAATATAGAATTGCAGAATCAGAATGGTTTGTGTTGGGAGAGACCTTGAAGTTCATCTCTTTCCAATCCCCTGCTGTGGGCAAGAACACCTTCCACTAAACCAGACAGAGCTCCACTTCTCAATCTAGGTTTGGAAAACAATGTTTGTCACAAGAACCTTAAAAATCAAAACTAAATTAGAGAAGATAATCTGTATGTGGTAGTTGGTATCTTAGAGTGTGTGGTGATGTCTTTGAGCCAGAACAGGCTTTAATAAAACCAGTTGTTGGCAGAGAGCAGGCACCTACCCTTGTTCTCCTGGGAAACCCCATAGATTTGGTTCCTCTCCTGGTCCTGCTCACTGTGTTCTTGGAGTAGTTTTGAAAATTTGAGAATCTGGATAGCAGGCAGCTTAAATTAGATTTCCTTGTGTCTGTATTATCACAGTCAGTGTGGGATTTGCTCATGGATGGAAAGATGGAAGCTGAATCGGAGCTGGTTGTTGGGATAGGGAGGTTATAAAGATGGGGACAGGCTGAGGAGTTTGCAGCAGTACTGGGTAATGAATCTCTGTGGGCTGATTTGTTCCATAATTTCCTGAAACTCCTGGATTTTTCAGTTCCACTGACTTGCAGTGTCTCTGCCAGCAGCCCTGCCTGGTACTTTGCCAGCAGTCCCACAGTGCTGCTGGATGTTCTCCCTGGAAGTGATGTGCTGCCCTGGCTGGGACGTGCTCGGAGCGTGGCTGGGAGCACCACACTGCTGCAGAGGGCTGGGGGTGAGCTCCAGGAGCAGGGCAGCAGTGTCACCCGTGGCACACACACCCAGCCCTGCCCTGCAACAGCAGTGGGGAAAGCCAGAGGAGCAACCTCCCCCAGCAGTGTGGTGAGACATCGGTGCCTTCCCCACTGTGGGCTGTCGGGAGGGTGATGATGTGACTCCCTCGTGCCTGGCAGAGGTGCTGCACGGGCAGTGCTGTGCTGGGTGTGGCACAGAAATGGGTTCTGTACCGGGTTCATTTGAACCAGGATTAAATCCCAGCTTCACTGCTGCTCATTTTGCTGTGGCTGGGAGGTCACATCAGCTCTCCCCCGTGTGCTCACAGCGAGGGTACCTTTGGCCACTGGGTTGGATTTTGTCACCTGAATGCTTTGACCTTTTTGCTGTTCTCAAATCCTGAAAATAGATTTTTTTTTTTCAACCTGCAAAACCTTTTCTGGTGGCTTCAAAGTGTTGTGTTCCCTTTTGGATCAAGTTCACTATTTAATACTTCCAGCTCTGATGGGTTTTTTGTGGGAGTTTGTGAGAGTTTAGTAATCATTTCAAACTTTCTCCTTGTCACAGATGCACGTGACCACAGGTATGAATTTACAGGTTGGATATTTTACACTTTCTTTTTGTTAGCAAAAGATACACAAAGCTAGAATAAGGTAAGAATTAGGAGAGGGAGAAATAGCATTATATTCTTTCATAGCCCATAGAGTGGTTTGGTTTGAGTAGTGACTGCCAGTGGGAATGTCATGGGAATTACAAGGGACACAACATCCCCCACGTTCCTCATCACAATTTGATAATAAAATTGTTACATGTGTCAGAGGGTATCAAATATTTTTTTTCTGGGGTTGGGAAGACCCGTGGTGCCACTTTTTTTGAAAAATGGTGAACTGATATTTGGTAAAGTACTTCTCTTGTGTGCTCTTCAAATAATGGACATAAAAACATGATTCCAAATCAAAACCTGTTTACCATTTAGTCAGTATTTATAAAGTTGATACCAGAGCAGCAGCATTTGTACAATACTGTATTTTAATTTGTAGGACTGAATGTGGCTGACACAACAATGTGGAATCTTTACAGAAGAAATCTTTTCATTTGATCATAGCACTGATTCTGTCAGATTAGTTTTGGGCTATTTTCTGCATCAGAACATTTTTAAAGGAATAGTGTATAACTTTTATAATTTACAATGGTAAAAGCACGTAGAGAATCTATGATTCCTTGGTACAATGTTCTTTTCATATTGTTGAGTATAAATTTAGAAAATATTAGAAGTACATGTGGCAGAAAATAAACAAGCAGCTGAATTAAAGGCTTGGTTACTTGATAGGATTTCATGCAGCTTTGAATCTTCAAAAACCATTGCTGATATTTGCTTTTTTTCAGTAGAAAGAACCATGTTTGTGGACTTGAGTCATACACTAGAATTTACATATCTGCATATGTGTGCTCATTTACAGATAGATTTATAAAATAGAGGTGCTGTTGTATATAGCTGTACCAAAAATGCATCGCATTCTTTCTGTGTACTCATTTTCTTAAAATTCAAAGCCCTTTGTAGACCAAACCTTTTGTTTAGATTACACTACTTTTTGTTCTATATTGGTATTTTCTAAAGGTTATTCTCGAACTAAGGTGCATAAATTGAATTTATAAAGAGGAATCCTGCTTCATATTGGATTGTAACATCAACTAATGTTAAATACTGCAGGCTGTTTGGCCAACATCATGCATTTATCTTCTTGGGGGATATTAGCTATAAAGAGCCCAGACCTTTGTTCTGTAGAAAGGTGCATCATTTTCTATGAATTATGTGAAATCTGGAGTGTGATTGGGCAAGCTTAGTCTAAATTAGCTTTTTCTCAAAATGTACATCGAGTTACAGATTCAAATTCAGTTTGAGTTTGATTCGATAATTCAACAATTCAAACACAAACACGTAACAAAAGTTATTTAAATAACCGTGTCTTCAAATCAGACTTATACATCTTGTTTTCCTTTCTTTTTCCTGCCTTTCCCCAAATCCTTCTCGATCCCAGCTCCCAGCTGACCTTACCAAGATGCACCTCACGGACAATCCCCACCCTCAGGTGACACACGTGCCCTCCAGCCAGTCTGGGTGTAGCATTGCCAGTGACTCTGGGAGCAGCAGCCTGTCTGACATCTATCAGGTGAGATGGCTTTTGTTTCCTGCTTTGCCTTCCTTGATGTTAAATATTCCATAAAGAAGAGCGGCCCTTTATCCAAGATTTTGGGTGAAGCCCTCTTGGTACTTCTGCCCACCCCCACGGACACACGGGAGTGCAACAAGCTGCTTGTAAAGCTCTTTTTGTTGCTTCTCACATCTGTCTGTACCACCAAGTACTCTGTGGCTTTTAGAAGTCATATTTGTTGATTTATGGGATCGTTTTCCTTTCTGAAATGGAACAAATCTCATGAAATCAGCCTCATGTTTCCAATACCTTCCTTGATTATTTGTATTTATTGCTAATAGCAGATGTTCAGTTCTGCAAACAAAAGCATGGTAATAAACCCACTCCCTGCACTAATTGACTGTGGAAATTCTAGTGTGGCTTGCTGAGAATAGAAGTTGGCTGAAATCCAGAGAGAGCTTCATTTGTTTACAGATAATACACTTAATAAGTTACCTGTCTGGTGTCACATCCCAGAGCTCATTCCATGGGTGTTTATGTTCTGCTTGATGAGGGGGCTCAGCTTGGCTCTGTGTTGATCAGTAATTTCACAGCTTTTCCACTTCCAAGTTACAATCCAGCCCCAGCACTGGGTACACAGGATTGTGGAGCACAGTGTAGGTGTAACTTGATTTCAGACACCTGTTCCCTCTCCTTAGGTGCTGTCTGGGTATTATTTCTATACTAGAAACAGATCAGGGATATTTCTATTTACAGCAACGTATTATTTAGGGAGCTTTAAAAATAAGCCATTAAAGCAAAATTTCCCTTAGAACATTAGAAGTGTCAGAGTTTTTGTCCTGTTTCATCTGTTCCCGTACTACTTCTTTAGATTTTCTTGCTGCCAGCTGGGTCAGGAGTAGCTGGCATCCCTGAGAGAGCCTCTCCAAGATGCTCTGTGACTCCTTTAACTTCTGAGAGGCCCTGCTGGAAGATGGTGTTCTTTATCTTGATTATTCTTATCATTTTTTATTTTCTGCATCAACAGAATTGATGTGATCAGTCAGAGTCACCAGAACTAGTCTGTGTGTTGTACCTTAGCATGTCAGGCATTAGGATGGTGATGGATGGTTTCCCTGACCATGTCTGCCTGCCTGTCTACCTGAGTAGTTTGGAGAGGTTGCTCTAAGTGAAAAGCACTTAAAATATATTATTGATAATGAAGATATCATTCTAGCCATGATATCTTGTAATGAGTGAATATTCTATCGTGTGTGGTTAATTGCCTTTTGTCTACTCATCAGAAAAGGCCAGAAGAGCATAATTGCTAAACAAATAAAAATTGTATCAGTAAAAGAAATGATGGAGTAACATATTCATATGCACTGTAGCAAATAAACAGTGGTGCAAAGTATTTTGTACCCTAAGGAATGATTAATATATTAATGTGAAAATGTCTGCAGATTTTCTATTAATTTTGAGGAGTGGGGACTTTTCAGTTAGGAATTTCCTATTCAGTGACATGAGCCTGGCTGGTTTTGAATCCTGAAGGAATCGTGGACAGCTCTGCACTGTCAGGCTTGTGGGAGACCCTCAAAGATAATGTTACAGCCCTTTATGATCAGAGCTACAGTGTCCTGAATCCTGGCAGACAGCATTGGAGAATCCAGCATTTGATGAGCTGTTGGTGATGATAAGATGTGCAACAGGCATGTCAGGAGTGGGGTGGGGGGAACCCAACAACCCACTGAGGTTCCCTCTCCCTTCTTATTTTTTTAGTGAATTTTTAGTATATTTTCTCATGTGCCTAATGTGCAAACACCAACCTGTTAAAAGATGCACTTTAGGTGCATTTATGTATTTTATGGGCTTTATTGCAGTAGCAGTAACAGTTAGTGTTGGAGAATTCCCTTACTGTTTGTCACACATCTCTAAGTGATAGCTTGATATTGCTTGGTAATAGATAGATATGGTGTAATAATGCCATGGCACAGTGTTTAACATTGCATTATATTGCAGTGACACGTCAGTACAGACAGATTTTGAAATCACAAAGAAAAAAGAAAATGTTTCCCCCAATATTCATCATATTATGAAGGCAGAGAATCTCTTTGATATGCAGTAAACCTACATTTGAGTGTAATGTATTGGCTCAGTAATTGAAAGCATTTTTGGTACAACAAAATACAGCTTTTCATGGAGTATTTGGAAAATGCTGCTTTGCTGTTGCAGTCAGTTTTGTATCTATTGCATGCCAAACTCTCCAGTAATGTCATTAATGTCACTAATGTTCTGAATAATTTTGATTAATGTAGCCTTGAAATGACCTTTTTTATGAATGGTATCTTAACATTAATTTTTACAGTAAGTAGTGCAAACGTCATTCCAGAATAGGAAAATAGGATTAGAGTGGTAGAATTAAAGAATGATGCAGTATTTTATTAAGATTTGGAATGACTTTCTGTTCATCTGTGTACACTGCATTCATTGATAGTGTTGAAATGAGGTCTCACTGGTTCCAGCTGCATCTCAGCCCAGGATAAAACCCATTTCCAGTTAAACAGGAAATGATGAACATAAAGCTGAAGGTGAGATCAGCACAAGGGGATTCCTGCCTGTAAGCACTGCTATGGGCACATGGTGTTAAACCTTGAGTTAGTTGCAAAAAGTGGTGCAAATAAATTTATGAAGGTATTTTTCTCTCTTGTCCTGTACTGCTGATGCTCCCTGTTGGAGCTTTCAGTGTTTTGGTGTCCGAAACAGGGACACCAAAATGTCCAAATGTGTGTATTGCAAATTCCAACTTGCTTGGAATACTGCACAGCAGCTGTCTTTCTGTTGGACTGTAGACCTTTTTTAATAATAATAATAAAAAAAAAATAGCTTGTTCCCTACAATTTTTAAAACAACTTCTTGCTTGAAGAGGATTTTCAAGTTTTTATTCATTTTTTTCATTCAACCCCGTTCTGACAGTGTGTTTAATGTCAGAACTCTGGTGTTCAGCCAGAAGCAGGGGAAGCTGTGTGGTTGTGCAGAGAGCAGTTGAAATGAGGGTTGGTACAGCTGCTTTGACCTGTGATAGGTACCCTTGGGGATAAAGAATCCAGCAGGTATTACACAGTGAAAACATCTTCCTTTGCCCTTTCGTGGGATGGGCTTTAAGGTGCCCACCCAGGCTCACACAGGGAATCCAGGTTGTGTCTCTAACTGTGGCTGGGCAGGGTCTCCCCTCTCCTGTAATGGATGAGTTGCCAATGTCAGCACCTGGCACTGCTCTTCTCTCAGTGACCAACCAATTTGCATCTTTTTTTTCTGACCAGTTCTGTCAGTGAAAGTTTCTCTCTCCTTTTCACCTTTTTCCAAATCCTTCATTTATCACTTTGGCAGTGGGCAGCAACATTATTGCCCAGCAGTGATTCCAGCTGTGGTTAAGGTCTTGATACTGAAATGGATTGTGTATGAAATATGCATCAAGGATGTGTATCTCGGTAGATACTCCTGCACTGTGGACCTGATCCTGGAAATCCATGTTTGGGTGAGATGTGAGGACTGCAGCTTCTGGTTTCATTTTGTAAATCAGTCGTTCAGAATGTTTTTGTTAAGAATGATTTTGATATTTGATAATGGAAACAGCTGGAGCATCATGCTTGGGAAGAGCAGCTACTTCCTCAGATGACTTTATGAGCAGAACCCTTCCTGTTCCTTCCAACTCTGCCTGACCTGCCAACCTTCTGTCAACCCTCTGCACATAATCTTTGAAGCACAGTTGGAGGGCCATCTCCTATTTCATAGCTAGATCAAGTCATAACTTACCAAGAAAGGAGATTTGTTTATTTTCCCATATAGGATACACAAAATTCTGTAGAACCTGTAGCCTCAGTTTTTCTACCTTAGCTTGAGATTATCGAAGTGGGGAGTGCTGCTGTTGTCTGCCTTATTCAGCCTGGAGCAGTTGATGTAAATTGTGGCTATTTAGATGAAGAAATGCTAGAAAAGTCCTTGTATAAAATGCTGTACTGATCATGTGCTGCTGAGACTCTCCAAGCACAATTTGCGCTTGGGCTTAATTCCAAAACTGTTAATGTGAGCTACAGGAGCCAGTAAAGTGATGTAATGTAAAACAGATTTAACCCTCTGTATTGTTAGATTCCTCTGAAAGATATGTTTTTGCTAAATCATTTAAGCTTTAGTTAATAGGTTTGTTGGCTAACTGTTAAATCAGGGACAAGCTCCAAAGTCCATGCTTACATCTAAACCCCAGGATATTTTGGTTTAGTGCAGGAAGGCAGTGCTGCTCCTCTGTCCAGGTGCTGGGGCTCACACCTTATTGCACCCTGTCAGTATTTAGAGTGGGCTTATTCAAAAGGCTTTTTATTGTCCTATAGTGACAGGACACAGGGCAGTGGTTTTAAACTGAAAAAAAATGGTTTATCCTGGATATAGGGAAGAATTTTTTCTCTGTGAGGGTGTTGAGACACGGGTACAGGTTGCCCAGAGAAGCTGTGCTGCCCCATCACAGTGTTCAAATTCATCCTCTGTTTTGGAGGTTTACTGAACAAGCAGAGTGTTTGATGTCTTAGATAGTTCAGTGTTTTTGTAGAATCTCAAGGATTTCTTTTAAAGTGAAAGTAAGCGTTGTAAATGTGCTCATTTAAAAACAAACTCCTGTTTTCTGCAAGTTTCTCTGTAATTGCCTTATACTTCGCAGTGACACATCTTGTTGCTGAAATTTTTGAATTTAAACAGAAAAATGATTTGCATGCTGGCTTAAACTTCAAAAAGAGTGGTTGAGCAACTACTCTGTAGAAACTGAGAATTTGAAACTTCTCCCCCCCTTCCATCTGTTTGGAAATTTATTTTCATGCAATTACATCATTTAAACTTTACAGAAGGAATTAGTGCAAACGAATCCTGTGTGGTTCTGCTGTTGGTTGCATGTATTGTGTTCTCTTTGACTGTGGCCTGTGTGTCTGCTCACTGTGATGTCTGTGTTGCCCTCTATTGCTGACAGTAGAAATGTGTCTGCAGGCACTGGGTAACCAATTAAACTTCATTATTATTTTGTGATTAATACAGACTCCACTTATGAAAAAACAATTTTACATGAATTCACAAGAAATAGTAAATAGTATAAAATGAGAATCCAGTAACTATAGATTTCAGCATGATGTGTTTTCCTCAGTGTTCAGAAAGGAGCTGTTGCAGTTTCTAGTTTGACTTGTGGGTCACAGACTTTATTTTTTATTTTGTTAGCTACCTCAGACCATACATGTTTAAACTGAAGACACTGAACTCTTTGTCTGATTGATGTTTTCTTTGTAGGCCACAGAAAGTGAGATGGGAGATGTTGATTTAACGGGTCTTCCAGAAGCACCTGTGGACTCTGAAGATGAAGAGGAGGAGGAGGATGAAGACATTGACAGAACTTCTGATCCACTTCTAGGGCGAGATGTTGTCCGAGAGTGCCTTGAGAAAGAGCCTGCAGATAAAACTGATGATGACATTGGTGAGGAGAAAAAATACATCAATTTACATAAAACTGCATCATATAATATCTGTAAGAGAAGCATATCTGAAAGCTGTTCAATGACTTAATTTTCAGTGTGTGTGTTCATAATTGAGTGATGCCTTCCAGTGATCACTTTGCTTTAGTGATACTCTTAATTGAATGATTTCTCCTCTTACTGTCTGAGAGTCTATTTGTTCTGAAAAACTAAATATTTTAACCACGAGTCTTTGAGATGCTTAAGATGTGAAGTATACACAGTCATTGTGTGTGTTGATGTGATGGGACAGGCAGCAAGGTAATTTTGGCTGCCTGAAACTGTTGAATTAGTTACTAAATACCAAAGAGAGCATACTATTACTGAGTATAGGTGTACTTAGCTGTAAACTGCAGAACAGTTCAAATGAAGATAATTTGCTGCAGTGTTTCACTAGAAGTTGGCATTAACTTCAATAGCAAAACTTGCTTTCTACTGTACTCCAGATTGCCTCTCTGAACACTGGAAAATCATTTCATGCTCCTGTCAAGCTTGTAATTACTGTACCTAGGGGTATTTTTAATTTTTCTCAATGTTTGAAGCTGAAGTGCTTCTCCTCTTAGCTAGACTGCTGCCCTGAGAGTCAATCAGAGCCCCAGCCAGGCTGCAGAGCTGAGCTCTGGCTGTGGATGACAAAGTGCACACTGGGCTCATTAAGCCCCAGGCACTAATGGGGAGTGTGACCCCACTGAGCAATTGTGAGTGTGGCTGAGGTTTGATGGACCTGTGGAGGGTGAGGGATCTGAGGAACCCCTGGGCCCTGCAGTCATCATACCAGTGTTTCCTTTGTCCAACAGAGCAATTATTGGAATTTATGCATCAACTCCCTGCCTTTGCAAACATGACCATGTCTGTGAGAAGAGAGCTTTGCTCAGTGATGATCTTCGAAGTGGTGGAGCAAGCAGGAGCCATCATCCTCGAGGATGGCCAAGAGGTGAGTCACTGCTTGCAGCACAGTGTGGGTGCCACAGGCAGGTCACCAAGGGCATTGAGGCTGAAGGGCTGGAAAATGTTTCCCATCTCCACACTTGGAAGTTAGAGAATTCTTCTCTCACCCTGACCCCGTAGCCAAAATCCCCAACCCTCTGTCCATCCCTTCAGGAGATTCTACCTGTGTGTTGGTTCCCTGCCCGTGGAGGGAGTTGGAATGAGATGATCTTTAAGGTTCCTTCCAACCCAAACCATTCTGTGATGGTTACTGTCTTGTTCAAGACTTTACCAAGTAGAGTCAAAGTATAGACCAAGAATATACTTTATGTACCAAGTATAGGCATTAAAGAGCATTCAGGATGTTGTTATCAGGTAACTGCCAACTTATTTCAAAGATGATTTGTGGGATAAAAAAAAACATAATTTCCACTGGGGAAAAAAACTCTCTTCCTTATAATGTAGGGGTTTTTTTAAATACTAATATGGAGGGGTATCTTTGCCCAGTAATGTCTAAATTAGGAGCAGTTTCCATACATGTTCCCTGGGAGGAGGCAGATGTTCAGGTTAGGTGCCCTGAATCACTATCTTGAGATCTTTCCCTCTGCTTGGATCAAGCCCTCAGGAATGGCATTCCTTGTTCTTCCCTCCAGGAGGGCAAGGTGGACTCATCTCTGGTAGTGACCAAATGGGTGCCCAGGGGAAGAGTGTTCACTCTCACTAAATGGTATAAATATATCATAGCAATTAGCCCACAGATTAAAAAAGCAATCTCTTCATCAGCATTCCTCCCTCTGGAATTAGTTCTGAAGTGAATGAAGCATTCTTGTTTCAGTCATTGCCATTGCTGCCTTCCACTGCACCGTTTCAGTGAATGAAATGTTGCAGAGCCATGGGGACAACAAACTGGAGAGTGCAGGAATGAGCACTGTCTGAGATAAGAGCTTAGAAAAGTTGTTGAATTAGCTTCACTTGTTTGGTTTTGGTTCTTTTTCTTCTTCTAGCTCGATTCTTGGTATGTTATTTTAAATGGCACAGTGGAAATCAGCTATCCTGATGGGAAGAGCGAGAGTCTCTGTATGGGAAATAGTTTTGGGATTACTCCCTCTCTGGACAAACAGTACATGAATGGAGTGGTCAGAACCAAAGTAGATGATTGTCAGGTGAGACTGCAATTCTGTACAACTACTTTGTATTTTTTAACATCTAATAAAAGAAAACAGACTACTTTTATCCTAAGATATGGTGGGGTGGATGAAAAGCAGGATATAAGCCAAGAGCCCAACTGCATCCTGGGCTGCATCAGAAGAAGTGTGGGGACTCTCCCCCTCATGAGACCCTGCCTGGAGCACTGGCTCCAGCTCTGAGCTCCTCAACACGAGGACATGGACCTCTTAGAACAGGTCCAGAGGAGGCCACAAAGATGCTCAGAGGGCTGGAGCATCTGCCGTGGGGTCAGGCTGGGAGAGCTGGGGTTGTTCAGCCTGCAGAAGGGCATGTGTTCATGGTTTAGATGTTTATTCACAGTCTTTTGTTGTTTGGGGACAGTTTGTGTGTATAGCCCAGCAAGACTACTGGAGGATTCTGAACCATGTGGAAAAAAACACTCATAAAGTGGAGGAAGAGGGAGAAATTGTGATGGTGAAGGAGCACAGGGAGCTGGATCGCAGTGGAACCAGGAAAGGCCACATAGTTATCAAGGTGAATGTCTTTCTATGCTTTCCACTAATCTATTAAACTGTTATTCATTAGTAAATAAATACAAAACATCTGGGCTGAGAGAAGCAGGAAGATTTGATTTAAACATGTTGATGTGTTTTCTCCTGAGCTTGCCATAGGTGAACTTTGTAAAGATATTATACTGTTCACCTGGGTTTATGTTGAAATACTCTCTAGGGGGAGGTAGAGATGAGAGGTACCAGTTATTTTTTGCATTTACTTTTTTAAGGCAACACCCGAGCGACTCATCATGCACTTAATAGAAGAACATTCTATTGTGGATCCCACCTACATTGAAGATTTCCTTTTAACATACAGAACATTTCTAGCAAGCCCCTTGGAAGTTGGAAATAAACTCTTGGAATGGTTCACAGTGGACAGCCTCAGGGATAAGGTTGGTTGAGTCTGAGAGATCAGTGTTTCTGGTGAAAATGTGTTCAGATGGATTCCTTTTTCTATTGTGATAAACTAGGATTATGCTTCAGTTATTTTATGTGAAACATTTTAAAGCGAAGTATTTTTCACTTATATCAAGAAAGGATTCTCCAGGGTGTTGTGTATGATGGTGTGCTATCCAAAATCAGGTGTGATGCTGCTTCTCTTCTGCAGAATGATAAATAGTGTTTTCTGTTTAATATAAAGAGGTAAATGCCAGTCTCTGAAATCCTCTTTCACCAGAAATTTAAGGGAATTGCGTTCAGGTTCTCTTGGACATTCCAGTTTTGTTTTTACAACAGCATTGTGCTTGTTTTCCATGATTTCTACTGCAGAGCTTTTCAGTGTTTTGAGCACATTTTGTTTGAGCAGCTTTTTACAAACTCTGGACTTCAAATAAACTCTGCTCAAGACAAGTGCAGTTGGTAAAAATGCTTCCAGAAATAGAACCAGGTTCAGCTCTTTGTAACCCTGTGCACACACATGAAAAATGTGGATAGTCTGGAACTTGTGTCGTGTCAATATGTTGAAAATTATGGCAGTAAAATTCTTAGCCAGTGGTTTTATGTGTTCTAGTTTTGAGCTGAAGGAAACCTAATAGTAATCTGTCAGATGTTATTCTGCCATGTCCAGGTATTCTTCTTTGTTTATAGATTAAAGCTGATAGGAGAAGAATCACAGATACCCTTGTGTATATGTGGATATATACATATATATACATACACAGAATTTATTTTGTTTTTACAGGTTACCAGAGTGGTCTTACTGTGGGTGAACAATCATTTTAATGACTTTGAAGGAGATCCTGCCATGACTCGATTCCTGGAAGAATTTGAAAAGAACTTGGAAGATACGGTAGGAGCCAAAAAGAAAGAGTGTCACATTTTCTAATACCATGTTTCAATTTTCCAGTGTTACCAGTGCCTCACACACTGCAGTCTATAAATGTAACAGCTACAGGTGGCTTTTAGCATGGGCATATTTGTTGTTATATATATATATTTAGATATAAAGGCCATATAAAGGAGTACCTATGGCACTCATTTATGGGTTTTTGCATTTCTACAGAAGAGGGCAAGGTTTATTTAGTAAGATGTTAATACATGGCATCAAAAATCTATTTGCTGGCACTTGGGGTGTTTTTCATAACTGTTTTTCCATTTCTGATAAAAGCACTGCATTCTGTGTGTTGTGTTACAGAAGATGAAAGGCCATCTCAGGTTGTTGAATATTGCCTGTGCTGCCAAAGCAAAATGGAGACAAATCACGCTGCAAAAACCTTCCAGAGATTCCCCCCTGTTTTTCAGCCTCCTCGGGGGCAGTGACAAGGGCTTTGGTATTTTTGTAGAGACTGTGGAGATGGGCAGTAAAGCAGCAGAGGCTGGACTCAAGCGTGGTGATCAGGTAAAAGCAGTAATGTTAATTTAAATATTCTGGTTCAGCCAGCTCTGGTGTTCTCAACAAAAAGGTTGTGCAAGTGTTTTCTTTGGAATGCCACAGCTCAGCTTCCATTTTATATCTGTTACATTTCTGATTCTAAATTCCTGATTAATTGCAAGAATGTCATGTTACCATAAAAATAAAGTTATTTCAAGCATTTTTCAGGTAGAAATGGAGGTCCTGTCTTATTCACAGCATATAACTTTACTGACATGATGAAAATAGTTATTTTACAAGGAATGGTTTGATTCTGAGACTGCTGTAAAGATCATATGAGAACTTCTGGAAAGTTCTTACTGTGCCTGTATTATCACCTTTGTATTTTTAAGTCTGTCAAACAGATGTTCTCCTAATAGCCTAATTCTTACTTTTTCTTAAAGATAATGGAAGTAAATGGACAGAACTTTGAGAACATTACCTTTGTGAAAGCTCTGGAAATCTTAAGGAACAACACACATCTCTCCATTACTGTAAAAACAAACATTTTTGGTGAGTAGACTTTATATATGATATATTCCTTGTGTATGTGAAGGAACAGCTCCACTCTTTCTGGCTCTAGAAGTGCAATAGGATTCCACCTTCCTTTCCAGCTCACTCTGGGAGTGAGAAGTTGTGCAGAAGTCCCCTCGTTGTGCCTCTGTTTGCTTGGATAAGTTCTCGTGTACCAGGGGCTGCACGTTGAGGGGCACAGAGCCAGCACAGGCAGCTCTTCCCTCCCTGAGAAACCCTCAGTGACTCTTTAAGCTGCTTTACTGTCCCTCCATGCTGCGTGGCTGAAGCTGAGCCAAGGGAGCTGGACCAAAATATTTTTGCCAAGAAATGGCAAAGATGTAAACCTGGGGTTTTGTAGAAGTTTTTATAATGGCTGTGAGGACGAGAGGATAAATTGCCTTTATGTCTCAAATTGAAAAGGGGATATAAAAAGTGGTGTGGCATATAAATGCTGGCTCTTAATTGTCATCATGAATACAAACACATAAATAGCTCTTTAAAATCTCAGTCAGATCATCTGTTCTTTTTCCATAATCCTGTTCAGAATAACCAGAGCTACAGAAGCTGTGCACAGAATAACTCCTTCCCCCATAGTTGCATCCAAGACCTTCTGATGATTTCCTTATTTTCTTCCCCCAGTTACCTGCCCTTGCTCACTATTGATTTTCTTTTCAGTTATTATTCAATGTTTATCCCTGCATGGGTAAAGAGTTTCAAACCCTCAGCAGTTGATTATTAGCATAATTCAAAAAGAGCATAAAACCACCACCAGTGGTCCAGACTAATGTGAAAGGACATGAAATGAAGCATCACTGTAACTGAGACAGTGAGAGGTTGTTCATTTGTATTATAAATATAAGCAACATACATCTACAAACGGGTTCAGATCTCTTCCTACTGGCTGATAGAATTTCAAGGTGATTTCTTGGATAAATTTTAATGGATTCATGTCTTGAAGCTTTTTTCAGCAGTGATACTTATTATACAGTGACTTTTTAATTGAGTGCTAAGTGCCTGGTGCTGGCAATGAGCAAATCCTGTTGTTATATTCAAATGTAGACTGGGAAAACTTATAAGTTTTATTATATAATAGAATTATGCAATTTAACTGTACTTTCTGTACTTTCTGTGGTTTCCCTGTTCATAGGGACAGTCTGAGTAATTTACTGTGTACAGTTCTGCATTCTTCCAGTATCACCATGTTTTCAACAGAAAATACTGACTTTCTGACTTGAGTGATTTCAAAGGATTTTAAAAGATCTTTAAAGAAATAATTGATATTGAAAAACCAATTTGAACTTTTTTTTTTCCACCTTATATATGTGGAAAGAAACAGGAAGAACATAAACATTTCTGTGGAATCATATCTTTGGGAACGTCAGTGTGGGTAATAGACTGGCTTAGCTTGATAAATGCAGCAGGAAATTTGATGCAGTTTCTGTTCAGTAGTGTTAGGAAAAGCAAACAAAGGCAGTTTGGGAAAATCTCAGTCTGTGCTGCAGTTATTCTTGAGGAAGCATCTGCACTCCATTACCAAAAACAGGCAAACAAAAAAGCCAATAAATACATGGTGCTGATTACCCTGAATCCTTATTATCAATCTGGGATGTGGAAAGCAAAAGGTTTGAGGGGGAAAGAAGAATTCCCTGTGAAGTTCTGAGCATGCAAAGGTAACTCACAACGATTGTGTCTTCTCTCACAGTGTTCAAGGAGCTGCTCTGCAGGATAGGACAAGAGAAGAATGGAATTCCACATATTCCAAAAATTGCAGAAAAGAAAAACAACCGTTATTCCATCCCAGATATGCCTGGAGATGTGGAACAGATGTTTCCCCGGGAAAAAGGAAACAAGAAAATGAAAGCAAACACTGTATCTGGTGGCAGAAACAGAATCAGGAAAATCTTAGACAAGACCCGGTTCAGCATCTTGCCTCCAAAACTGTTCAGGTTTGTCAGACTCTTCTACCAAGAACTTGTTCTTCCTCATTAGGTTGTGATGCTTTAATCGTGGAAACATAGAATGAATTGAGTTGGAAGGGACCTTAAAGTCTATCCCATTCCACCCCCTACCAAGGGTAGGGACACCTCTCACTATCCCAGGTTGCTCCAAGCCCCGTCCAACCTGGCCTTGGACACTCCCAGGGATGGGGCAGCCACAGCTTCTCTGGGCAACCTGTGCCAGGGCCTCCCCACCCTCACAGGGAATTTCTTCCTAAGATCAAATCTAAATCTCCCCTCCTTCAGCTAAGGCCATTAAGAGATACTAATTGCTTAGTATCTCTGGTCCTTATGTCCACTCTACTTATGTTTTTTAAAAAATCGCGTCACCTGCCCCATAAATACAGAATGAGACCAAAACATCTTTTCTCTCCCCGCGAACGATTTCAAATCTCTTTCCTCTCTGTCCTCATTTTGAAACCCCGTCTACAACATGTAATTAAACAGCTGAACAGCATTATTTCCCTTAGTTTCATTCACCCCAAGCTGAGTAGCAGGAGTTGAGTGCCCCTGAGTGAGGCAGAGCTGTTTTGCAGTGACGGCAGCGTGAGCCAGTCGCAGGACGACAGCATCGTGGGCACCCGGCAGTGCCGCCACAGCCTGGCCATCATGCCCATCCCAGGGACCCTCTCCTCCAGCAGCCCTGACCTGCTCCAGCCCACAACCAGCATCCTGGACTTCTCTAACCCCTCAGGTAAAACAGCAGAAGGAGCTTGGTTTGTACAGGATGATTAACAGGGCAGGGGCAGGGGGGAAAATGATGCGTTTCACCAGCATCCCATGAGCTGAGTGCAGTTACTTGTCTGTCCTGTGGCTTCAACAGGGCCACACTGGAGCTCTGCTGAAAATCCACACTGCCTGAACCTCTCCTACATGCTCTTTTTGTAATGTGGCACTTCTTTTTACAAAGACATTGATTCACTGGAGTAAATCTGCTCTGCTGGAAGCAGATTGTCCTTGTCCACACCTTTCTCTTTTACCTGTACTGGTGCTTTGGCTTGTCCATCCCCTATCTGCCAGTATATATTTCAAGCAGTGTTGTGGGTAGAATAGGACTGCTGTGCTACCAACACAGTGATGTTAATGTTTTGTGTTTTACAAACGTTATGTATGTTCAACTGTGTGTCTAAAAACCTTTAAAATGTTTGGAGATGTGTAGTGTGGGCTTTTGTTGCTGTAGGAATCCACTTTATGGGGTGGCTGCAGGAGTTATTTGTTGTGATATGCAGCTGCCTGTAAACATGTCAAGTCAGAATCTTTTTTCCTTATTTCAAGTGTAAGTTCTTTGCATAATTACATAGTCTGTAAGGTGCCTTGTGGCTGTGAGTTCTGTTTATGTAAACTTGCAGATTTCCCCTTTAGAAGGGATGTACCCAGATATATCCTATCAGGTCATAAATATCCATAGCAGAAAAGTTCCCTTTTTGCTGCAGTTCCAGGTTCTTGCTGTCTGATAACTAGTTCATCTTGGAATCAATCACAGAATCACAGGCTGGTTTGGGATGGAAGGACCTTTAGAGGACACCCAGTCCAACCCCCCTGCCATGGGCAGGGACATGTCTACCTAGATTGCCTTTACTTCAGGTTTTCTATAACAAATATGCTGCCATGTTTAAAGAGCAGAGAAAACCAAACTAGTTCTGACAGTGTACACTTGATAAGTTTTGTAAACATCTGAATCTCGATTTGCTGTTGACACAGTTTTCTTCTTTTTCTCCTGCCTGCAGCTGTTGGGTTTTACTGTAAGTATCCTGATGTTCAGCATCCTGTAGACCTTAATATTGCATGGCTTGCCTGAAAACTTAACACTACCAGACACTGCATTGACACAGTTATTACTGTAGGGCATCCCAGAGCCCTGTGCCCTGTAAGCTTCCTCAAATAAAACAAATCCATAGGTTCTCACACAGGCACAGTGCTGTGCTGAGACCTGCATTTTATTCCCTTTTCTGCCACTGAAACACTGGATGACCTTTGGCAGTTTCTTCTCTTCTCTGTGGCCTTGCTTTGAAGGAATGAAGTTGCTTATATCTCTTATAGAGCTGAGGTTTTGGATGATAACGTAGTTTGAGATTTAATTTGCTCTTCTGTTGGACTCTAACTAAAATGCTGTGCATGCAGACTGGAAATGTGCTTTGTATTGTCGACACAAGCGGAACGATGCATAAAAAACCATTTAATTTAATAATGTTTACATGCTTAAAAGCAAAGACCATGAAGACACACATGTGCCTGTAATTTATGTGCCTGTCACATTGCATTGTTTTGGTTGCATAGTGATTATTTTTTATTTTATTTTTTCCTTTTTTCCCCCAAATTAAACTTCAGTTTTCAGTCTTACACCTTGAGTGTATTCTGATTTTTAGGTATGTTGATACTGAAGTAGAGATGTTTCCCTTTTCTGTTGATTTATTGTGATTTTTATGAGTGCAGGCACTTCCCTGATTATCCAGGATGTCATTTCTACCACTTTCACTCTGAAACAAGGACAGAATAGTTATTTATTCCCTTTATTGCCCCTGTTCATATATATATTGAGCTTTTCAAATTCAGCTAGTCCCTAACTGCTAAGGAGAATGCCCTGGTAATGTGATAACCCTAATAATGAAGCTGTTAGAAGAATTAGCTTTCAATCAGATTCTTTTTCAAAACCCTATTTGCTCCCATCTTCAAATTTATTTACAACTGATATTGAACCTTTCTTTTTTCCAATGGGTGGAAACTTTTGATACTGGACCACAGACTACCTGCTTAACTTTTTGCCCTGAAATTCCTGCTACTTGTCCCCATGACACCATTAAGTCCTGACACAAGAAAAAGTTATCCCAAGGTCGCTGCCCTCAAAGATCTTGTTTTTTTCCTGAAACAGTGGATTTTGTTAGAGGAAAATTAATGTGAAGTTTAGTCTTCAGACTTTAGGGAGGGGGAAAAGCTAGGTTTCCTTGTGCTTGGAATTAGTGTGTGTTTTGACTCTGGACATTTTTTTTTCCAATGAGTTTTATTTTGAAAATCAAGCTTTCTGTAATAACTAATGGAGCAAATTATTTGCAATCATCAAGCTGTGGATTAAACGCTTGTTTCTGTAGATATTTATTTCCTGCTGTAGGCTGCCTCAGATAAAGCTCTTCTCTAATGCATTTATAATACATAAAATGTGCTATAAATAAGTATACCAGCCAAAGAATTAACTGCTGGCAGCAGCTTAGTTCCTTCAGGGGGAGAGGGTGAGTGTGAAAGCTCGCAGCTAGTTATGGGAGCAACCAAATCTCCTTTCCTCTTCACATCCTCCCACCCCAAGCCCATCCATCCCTGGGAAACGTGCCCTGGCACGTGTGTGGACCTGGCTCTCACAAACACACAAGAGCCAGAGAAGGAATGATGCTGCCAAAGTTTTTGAGGCCCGCTGGGAAGCACGATGCACAGCTCAGGGACATACTGAGTGTCTTGTACTTTGATTGTGGTCATGGGATGATAAAGGAATTGAGTTGTGGAAAAGCCCTGATGAGAAGAGTCTTCTTTTTTCCTCTCAAAGTTGAAGGAAGAAGCAGAATATTTTAATATTTTTCAAGTCCAGCATGGCTTTTGTTTCCCAGCAGCTGGTTTTTGTTTTGTTCTCTGGCTATCAAATGAGACAGTCTTAGAGTCACAGAATGGTTTGGGTTGGAAGGGACCTTATAGCCCATCCAGTTCCAACCTCCTGCCATGGCCAGGGACACCTTCCACTAGCCCAGGTTGCTCCAAGTCCTGTCCAGCCTGTCCTTGGACATTTCCAGGGATGGGGCAGCCACAGCTTCTCTGGGCAACCTGTGCCAGGGCCTCCCCACCCTCACAGGGAAGAATTTCTCCCTAATATCCAATCTAACTAAACCTACCCTTCTTCAGCTTAAGGCAATTCCCCCTTGTCCTGTCACCACATGCCCTTGTGAAAAGCCTCTCTCCAAACAATGTGTCTTTTCAAGGGGAAAAGTAACTTCGCCCATCAAAGGTGTTCCTCTTCTTTTAGATATCCCGGATCAGGTGATAAGAGTTTTCAAAGCGGATCAGCAGAGCTGTTACATCATCATCAGCAAAGACACCACAGCCAAGGAGGTGGTGAGCCACGCTGTGCACGAGTTCAACCTGACAGGGGCCCCCGACACCTACTCCCTGTGCGAGGTGTCTGTCAGCCCTGAGGGCGTCATCAAGCAGCGGCGCCTCCCGGATCAGTTCTCCAAGTTGGCCGACAGGATCCAGCTCAACGGACGGTAAATGCGCCCTCGGTTTGCTCTGCTTTTAGTTGCCTTTTAGGATTAATCATAGAATCACAGAATCAGCTGGGTTGGAAGGGACCTCTGAGATCATCCAGCCCAACCCTTGATCCAACCCCGCTGTGGTTCCCAGCCCATGGCACTGATGCCACATCCAGTCTGTCCTTAAACACCTCCAGGGATGGAGAATCCACCCCTTCCCTGGGCAGCCCATTCCAATGGCTGAGCACCCTCTCTGCAAAGAAATTCTTTCTAATATCCAACCTAAACCTCCCCTGGCACAGCTGAAGACCCAGCCCTCTTGTCTTGCTGATGGTTGCCTGGGAAAAGAGACCAACCCCCCCCTGGCTCCCCCCTCCTGTCAGGGAGTTGCAGAGAGTGAGGAGGTCTCCCCTGAGCCTCCTCCTCTCCAGGCTGAACAGCCCCAGCTCCCTCAGCCTCTCCTCATAGGACTTGTGCTCTGCTTTTAGTTACCTTTTAGGATTAAAACATCATGGAATCAATAAGGTTGGAAAGGACCCCCGAGATCACCATGGGGGATGTTTTAATTAAAGTAGACAGGTTAGAAGGACAAGCAGTCAAATACCAATAAATGACACTTTCCTCTCTCCTCTTGTGTCACCTTCATCTTATGCACCCAAAACTCCTCCCCAAATCCACAGCCAGCTCGCTTGATGACAGCTAAATTTAGCAGATCAGCTATATAACATATATAGTGGTTTACACTTGGAGAAAAAATTTATATTTGTTCTGACACTTCCCACATGTACTGGAGGATTAAAGCATACAATTAATTCTTTCCTCAGTGCTGTGTTGCAATGAACTGATTCTAACCTGAGATAAATTCTGCCATTTTTATGTAAACTGTTCTGAATCCTTCTGAAACGTTAAGTGCTTTGGTTTTATCTGATGACCTGATCCAGACCAGAAGAAAGTTTATTAAAGTTAAAAACTCTGTAGTTGTCTTTGCTAGGCAACAAGAGGGAATTTATGAGTAATAAACTTTTGTGTATCTGAAAGTGATCTGCTTGGGACTGTGGAAATGAATTTTCCAGATACATTTTCATTTCCTGAATACTCTGTGCCTCATGTAAATATTACTATGCCACAGTAAATTTATGGAAGAAACCACACTGAATTTGTGTAAGAAATGGAGAAAGACATTAACAGGAGATTTCTCGGGACTAGTGTGTATTTAAAATGTAATTTTCACTGCTGAATTTACAAATGGAAAAGTAACTGACCTTCTTCTGAAGGTGAACTCTACAGCATATTACAGAGTACGGTATGAAATGATAACAAAGAGGTAGATTAAAACAGGCTTTTGAAATGTTTGTTTGCTTAAGTAATGATGTTATTTTACGTTAGCTGAAGTACAAGGTTATCCTGTCCCTTCTTGTCTCTGTAATGCCCTCGTTGATTGGTGCAGTTCAACGTCCTTGTGTTCACAAACCCTCTGAAGAGCATCTCTAACGGGTCGCTGTCACTCCATTATTCTCCAGGTATTATCTGAAAAACAACATGGAGACAGAGACCTTATGCTCAGACGAGGATGCTCAGGAGCTGCTCCGGGAGAGCCAAATTTCCCTGCTCCAGCTGAGCACCATCGAGGTGGCCACCCAGCTCTCCATGAGGGACTTCGAGCTGTTCCGCAACATCGAGCCCACGGAGTACATCGATGACCTCTACAAGCTGGACTCCAAAACAGGGAACGCTCACCTGAAACAGTTCGAGGATGTCATAAACCAAGAGACCTTCTGGGTTGCCATGGAAATTTTAGCAGAGCCCAACCAGCTCAAAAGAATGAAGATTATTAAGCATTTCATTAAAATCGCTCTCCACTGTCGAGAATGCAAGAACTTCAATTCCATGTTCGCGGTTATAAGGTAAAATACTTCCCGTTTTTCAGCTCTGATTGGTGCTGTCAGAGGCAATTCTGGTAATCTAAGCTGAAAGGGAAGAAATAGAACCATCTTGGGCACATTACAGATGGGTCTGGGTGGTTTTCCAGAGCCAGCCTGGTCCGGGGTGGATTTGGATTGTTACCACAGCGGTTCAGTCCCACTGAGGTGCTGGATGTGACAGTCTCTCTTTTACCTGTTACCTCCCAGGGAAAGAGAAGATTGGGACAAAGCACTGTTTGATTGATGAACCTCAGGAACCTGCCTGAGCACTGTGTCATTTTCCGTGATTTTGGCACCCAATTTCCCTTCCCTTTGTCAGTCATTGTTACTTTTTTTGAGTCATATCTGTGATGATGAGATTACTTCATTTCTTCCTTCCATTGTAAGGACTTCCTCAAATCAGTCTTGTTTTGGCTTAATTTTCCTTTTCATTCTTTCCTGTCATCTGCTTGCTTGTCTATTTTATTTTTTCCTGCACATTTAGACTTTCTCTTCTGATTTATCCTGAATACTGCTACTTTAACAGCATGAGTTCAGCATTTCCTTTATTTGCAATTATCTTACACCCAGCCTTTACTTTAGGGGAAAAAAAAGGCACTGTGATTCATCAGATAAAGATCTGGATTTGTGCTGTATCCCAGCACCATTGTTGAAAATGCCATTATAAAATATTTTCTTCCATGTCTAACCAGTTTATCAAAGGGTATTGGCTTCTGGTTAGTCACACATTAAAGAATTCATGAATTTTCTTCAAAGGGACTGGGCAGCAATTGGGGCTGGGGCTGCTCATTACATGGTGAATACACACGTGGATACTGAATCTCATTTTTATATTCTGCTCCCTAATTTCTCTTGGTTTATTGTAGTGGAGAAATGACTCTTCCTGCTTCTCAGTTAAGTCTAATCAGGCCATGACTGAAGTGGACTTTGGTCAAAAAAAAAAAAAAGAGGCAAATAAATTAGTTACTGTTTTACCCTTATTTCCAGAGTAATATGTTTTTCTTAGCATATGGCACAGGAGTTGTCTTTCTTGCCTTGTCCTGCACAGCAGTTTGATGCCATATGTCTCCTGAAATAGGAAGATAACCATCCTAAACTAGTATGGAAAAGAGGAGCTGTGGGCTGGCATATGTTGGATTTTTCATGTCAGAGAAGGCTTTGTTTGGCATAGCGTGGAGAGAAATCCGTATGAAAAATGAACCAAATTCAAAACAAGACTTTGAAGCTTTCAAAATGTGGAAAAAAAAAAACAACTGAAAAAATTCATCCTCAGAGGGAAGAATTTCTTCCTAAAGTCTTCCCACTTCTGCTTGGGATGAGCTCTGCACTGTTCTCATTTGCTGTGCAACCATTACTTCACCTCATTCATTCTCTACCCCTTTTGTCCTTATTGTGATAGCCATTTATACAGGAGAGAAGTTGTTCTTAAACAGACATCAGTCCTGTTTTACAGAGTGATTATTTTGGCAGTAATTGGAAATCTGTACCTTGTGCATAGGAAGCAGTTGTGGTTTAAACAGCAGAGGTTTATTGTGATGAACTTGTACTCTGGCACCCAGCCAGCTTTACATTTAACCTTGGGAAAGCTATTTTTAATCCTTAAAACCCTTCACTTCCTTCTGAAATGCAGCAGTTCTGCTCACAGCTAACCATGAAACCTTCCTGCCTTGCAGTGGGTTAAATCTTGCGCCAGTAGCTCGGCTCAGAGGCACTTGGGAGAAGTTACCCAGCAAGTATGAAAAGCACCTCAGAGACCTTCAAGATCTTTTTGATCCATCTCGAAACATGGCAAAATACCGCAACATCCTGAGCAGCCAGAGCATGCAGCCTCCAATTATCCCACTTTTCCCTGTTGTCAAGAAGGATATCACGTTCCTGCATGAAGGTAATGTCAAACAGGGAGAAAACAAGCGGAGCACTGAATATGCTTTAGCCCTTTCTTCAGTGCTCCTCGTGTCAACACGTGTCTAAGGAAGCTGCCACCAGTGGGATGCTTTTGATGGGTCCTTTGTAGGAGGAAAGTAAAATAGGACTCGGAATGCTGAGTGGAAGAGACTGATCCTAGACAAAAATTAAAAATTAAATGCGCATTTTTAATATTTGAAAAGCAATGCTTAGACTTCATCAGCTGTCCTCAGGTTTAGGCTGGAAGCACAGGTGAGTGTGCTGGCTGGTAGTTGCACTACTTCAAATATATTCTCTCACAAAAAAAGAACTTGTTGCTGTGATGTTTCCAGGTTTTCATTCCATGTTGTGGCTTTCAGGCAGCTCCAACACCTCCTACTCTTGCTTTCAGCATTTTCAGGAGGTTTTGTTTAGACATTTCCATTTTGTTCCGTTTACACAAAGTCCTGTTCACAAGTGGCTGAGGCGAAACATTTCCAAATATACCCAGTTCTTGGTTGTGATGGCTCAGAACTGTTTGAACTTCTTTCCAAATGGGAATGCTGTCCCCATCAGTTCTGTATTTATATTTTAACATCATGCCAGTGAACTTGGGCATAGTTCACTTATTACTTTTTCCTCCTGCTAATACTTGTTACTTCAGAAATAGGTTAACAAGGGCCAATACAAGATACCAATACAATGTACTGTGAGTGGGCCTGATTCCATTTGTGTTTTGCCAGAGCTTCCTGTTTTCCTGCTGTTTTGATTAAAAGTTTTGCTGATGGAGGGCAGGGAGGGCAACACAGGGTCACTCTGAAGAATTTCTTACTCTTTTTTTTTTTTCTTTTCTCTTATATGTGTGTCTCAATTATGCAGGCAACGATTCCAAAGTGGATGGCCTGGTGAACTTTGAGAAGCTGCGAATGATTGCCAAGGAAATCCGCCAAGTTGTCCGAATGACCTCGGCAAACATGGATCCAGCTGTGATGTTCAGGCAAAGGTGTGCACTGGGAAGGGCACTGGAGGGGTCTCAGGGGGGGCTCTGGGGCTGTGTGTGCATCAGGACGTTGGTGTTCCATTGTGTGCCTCACCACTGACATTTACCACCAAACCACCATCTTTATCAAACTATGCCAGTAGAGGTGATGCTTCCCAGACCCGCTTGTAATGACTAATAAAACAAATTATTGTCTTTAAAACACACAGAAGAATAGGTTCTAATTTTAGTGATACGTATTTTTGCTAAATAAAAGCGTTAGTGTCAGTAGAGTTTTGAGAGAGATATAATGTTAGGGAGGTATAATACCTATATATGAGAGAGATAAAAAGCACCTAAATCACCCTTATATGAATCTGAAATGTTGCTTCAAAACAAAAGCCCACTGATAACATTAAAATCAAACAAAATATTTTTTAATTTGTTCTGAGCACAGCTTGTTCCACCTACATAATGTTTGATGTTCTCAGGCTTTAGCAGGTGGAGGGTGTGTTCTTGGCTTATTTTTCTTATTATTTCTTTTTATCTTGATGCTGAATATCATCAGGCTCTGTGTTAACAAACTGCAGAAGGAAAGCAATGTAATTTCTAATCTGGTGCTGATTAGCTCCGGATTATATTTAGTGGAACTAAATGACTTCCTGCATCCGTTTTCTTCCCACTGGCTGAACTAAAAGCATCAGGAACTCTGCTGTGTCCATGCTGGTCCCGTAGATCCCTGCAGGAAGGGTGCTGGTCCCGTAGATCCCTGCAGGAAGGGTGCTGGTCCCGTAGATCCCTGCAGGAAGGGTGCTGGTCCCTTCTCTTGCACTTTAGTTTGCCTGGAAGTGACTGGCCAGATAAAACCCCTGAGGAGGCAGTTTGGGGGGGAGTTGGGGACACTCAGGATGCAGTTTGGGGGTGGAGTTGGGGACACTCAGGATGCAGTTTGGGGGGGAGCTGGGGACAAGGTCTCTGGTGCTGAGTGGCCCCATGGTTTCTACTTCAAAAAATGAGCTGCACCCCCAGCAGTGCAGAGCTCAGAGGAGACACCGTGGACAGATTTTGGGTGAAATGTGCTTTCTCCACCCAAAATTCCAGTGCATGGGTCACCTGTGCACCAGCTGTAATTCTCTGTGATGTATGAGTTGAGTGACATCTGTGCAGTGGAAGGAAACAGCACGTGCAAGGATACAGAGTGTGTGTAAGAGATTGGGTTCCAGTGGTCAGGATGCACAGAGGATCATCAGCTCTGTCCTGTTTTTGTTTGCAAGGCTGACTATCAGGAAACAGAAGTATTTTTTTTAAATACAGGCATTTAAAGCCAACCTGGATGGGGCTCTGAGCAACCTGGGGTAGTGGAAGGTGTCCCTGCCCGTGGCAGGGGCTGGAACAAAATGAGCTTTAAGGTCCCTTCCAACCCAAACCAGTCTGTGGTTCTGGGAGTCTAAAAATGGCCCAGTCGAGGCTTGAACCAACAATAACAGATCCTTCTTAAAGTTATTTAGAGATGGGTTTGTCTCACAGTGGAGATTCACCTTCATACTGTTGGATTGGACTTAGCAGAATTCCATTTTTAGCATAAAATTATAAAGCTGAGAAGTTGTGATTTGCTTTTCAGAAACTTTGGCATTCACAGCTGAAATCAGTCTATAAATAAATTTCCCTGATGGCCCATGCACTTTCTAAGACCTGATGAAGTCCAATCATTAAATAAAATTAATAGTAAATAGTTACCTTTAGTATGTTTTTCAGAATTACAGAACAGACTTTAATGACCATAATTTAAATTATGCACACTGCCATAAACTGCTTAGGCATCTAATATTGGAGATAGTGCCAAAGATTAAAAGAAAATAATTCCATGTTTTCACATCATTTATATTCATTTTCATTGCCTCTGGTGTTTGATCTATCAGTTTGTGTTATGAAGCACCAAATAAATGCTTTTGAAGATGAAAAATTAACAAGAAAGGATGTGTATTAGTGGTAACATGAGACTTGCTCACAAGTTCTTTACTGATTAATAGAGAGCATCCAGGCTTTCAAGGTGCATTTGGCAACTGGCTTGTTTTCCAGCAAACAATCAAGAGAAAACAACATCATAAACTTGAATACTGATGATGATTTCTCATACACTCCCAGCAGGCCTAATACAAAGAATAAATAAATTTAATCCCACTTTTTGAAATATGAGTGAGTTGAACAGTTTTTACTCACTCCATCAAAATTGAATTTGACTTACAGAAAATTAAAAAAAAATAATGCAAGTTTGGTTTTTCAATTCATAGGTTAAACCTACACAAAAAACTGATAGATGTGCTTCCATATTAAAGTATTTGCCAAGTCCTACCCTTGCATTCCATGAAAACATTGTGTTATTGTTTGAGAAGAATTTTGCTGTATAGAGATTTTTTCTTTTCTGTTCTTTCCTGTCTACATCTTTCTTCCTGACTCTCAACTGTTTTATTTTTTTCCTGTGCTTTTCTGTTCAAATACATGCTTCAATGTATATGGCTCTTGCTTACAGGAAGAAGAGGTGGAGAAGTTTGGGGTAAGTGTAGAGCTGAATGCAACTAAGATAAAATAAAGATTATGCAACTCTTAACATACTGCATCCTCCTCGTTAGTGCATGCATCTGAAATACAGCATGCATTTTATTAACCCTGCAATACATGGTTTTTTTGAAAGCAGGAATAAGGGGTTACAGCCAACGTTTTACTGCGGCTGCAAGAATTCTGAGTTGCTTTTGTGTAGTAGATAAATTGTTTTGAGTTTTGGCTTTATGCATAAAAAAACCCCCTGCTGTGCAGTTATATTGGAAGGCAAACTGTTTGGGGAAATAAATGAAATGAATAACTTGCTTTTTAACGTGTGGCAGAAAAGTTGAAGCCATTCTGCATTTTGAACTATGAGGGCGCTTGGAATTGTGATAATGGTGTAGTGATTTCCCCCCTGAAGTTTGTGTTCAAGCAAGCTTCAAAGCAGTTATTTTTAGCATATATTTAAAATGTATCTCACATTTCCTACACCAAACCCCTCCTTGGTTTCCCTGGGAGTGTTGACTGTGCAAGGCCTGGATAACGAAATGACTCAAGATGAGAGTTGTGATGTTGGCTGGGGAAAGTCCTGACTGGCCCAGGGTGCTGATTGTAAGACAGCTGTCATTGTAGCTGTATTTTATGTGTTATTATGTGTAATTTTACCCATAAACTGTTACCTGTGTGCCTTTGCACAACGAGAGGGACAGTTCCAGTCAAACTGGGGTGAGCAGGTTTGGATACTGGTCCCTGGTACTGATGTGGATGCCCTTGGCTGGCAGCCTTGGATGCTCACAGGACAGCTCATGGGGACAAACACCCAGGAGCCACAGAGCCAGTGTGATTTCCAACCCTTGGGTTTGCTGTGAACACGAGGGAATTAGGGAAAAATCATTATTAAAGGAAATTGAATTAAATTGCCTTAAAAAGTCAAGTACGGACTTGAAAGAAAAACAGTGTGTACATAAGCAATGAAATATTTATATCATTAAAAATAAACATAATTTCCTGATCATTGTAGAAGAGGTGTCAACTTTGTCCTTGTCCATAGGGGACAGGAGTGTCCCCTTGGTTTGAGTAGCTGTGAACACTCCATCATGCCTTTTGCTGCTCCTTGCCTACAGTAACATTACTGTTTTATTAAATTAAGCTGTAAATTGCTGCCAGTTTTTAAGCTTATGTTTTCTTTCAGATTGATTTATTTAACATCTTTGAAAATATTGCAGTCAGCTATTTTCCCCTACTTATTTTTTTAAGCTCAGTGTACTCGATTCCTTATATTTGCTCTAACAACATGTTTCATTCTGACTCCTTTGGCCATTATGGCAGTTCTGTGCCTGATGTTGTTTATTCTGCCACTTGTGATTCTGTAAACACACAAGATCTTGATAACTGTCTTCACAAATACTGTAGCTTTAAAATATTCATCTGAATGTTTAAAAATCCCCACAAAACCCCAACTTTAAACAACTTTATTGACACTTTCCATTCTACTTTATGTGTGGCATATATACTGTGATCTCCACTTATTTAAAAATGCATCAGGACTGGTGTGGCTGTAGCACTTCTGGCAGTTGAAACAGAGGTGATGTGTGTGTTTGAGCTGTGTCCAGGTCAGTTGTTTGGTCACTCATTCAGTGAGTGGGAGTGACTGTCAGGGAGAGTAACTCATGTTCTTTAACGTTTTGGGGATGATTTATTTTTACCACAGTTGCTGATAGATGTGGGAGCTCAAAATTGGGAGTATTGAGGAGCATTGTTTTTCATAATGCAAATCTGGGCATACATGTATTATCACTGCTTTCCTCACCCTTCTTGAGAAATGTGGTTTTAGTGAGCTGCTCTTCTGTGGATGGTTTTAGTTACTTGAAGAAAGAAGTTAAGTGCATCAAGTGCACTTTGTACTTGTAACATAATTTGCCCCTTGTTTAACCCTTGTGAGAAGCCCAGTTTTCTAAGAGGATCACAGTAGTCACTCCCTTCTGTGCTCAGCTAATTGCAGGGGGTTTCTGTGTGAGCCTGATGCACACAGTGGGCACCAGATTCCTCAAACCAACAAAGTTAATAAGTTTTTCCACTCTTACAATCTGCAGTTGAAATTATGGAATTGTTAAGGTTGGAAAAGACCTCTAAGATGGAGCCCAACCATCAGTCCAGCACCACCACCACGTTCACCACTGAACCATGTTCTCAGGTGTTTTTGAACACTTCCAGGGATGGTGACTACCACTGCCCTGGACAGCCTGTTCCAGGGCTTGACAACCTTTTCCATGAAGAAATATTTCATAATATCCAATTTAATCCTCCTCTTGCACAACTTGAGGCCGTTTCCTCTCGTCCTGTCAGCTCTGGGTCCTGCAGCACAAGCCTGTGGTTCGTTGGTGGAGCTGAACGGGTTCTGTGCAGAGCACTGCACCTCGTCCTTCCCAGTTCCACATTTCCATGTGCAATCCTGTTCTAGACTCAAATTGCCGCTCTCAGTTTACCAGAATATTTTAAGACAAGTGTTGTTTTACTGCTGTTCATCTTTTTAACTCATTTGCATCAGCATGCACTAGCCCTAACTGAAGATTATTGGTATTAATCTGCTTTGGCCTGTGCTACTGCAGCTCTTCACTGCTGTCGAGAACTGAACCTTTACTGCTTTGCTCTTCTGTTTTGCAGGTCTCTGAGCCAGGGCAGCACGAACTCCAACATGCTGGATGTGCAGGGAGGTGCCCACAAGAAGCGTGCCCGCCGCAGCTCGCTGCTCAACGCCAAGAAGCTCTATGAGGACGCGCAGATGGCCAGGAAGGTGAAGCAGTACCTGTCCAACCTCAACGTGGAGACAGACGAGGAGAAGATCCAGATATTGTCACTCCAGTGTGAGCCTGCCTACAGCACTTGTAAGTACAGTTCCTTCTCTAGAAATACTCATTTAAACTCTTTCTCCGAGGACAAAATACTTCAGTAAGTTCTGGTTTGTCAGTTCGTGTGCTAAGAGCTTCAGCAAGACAGCATTTGTGTTCAGGTCTTGGTTGAGCTCAAAAAACCTCCATGATGGTTTTTCTTCTGCCCTTTAGTTCCTAAGCTGTGTGTCTTTCCATCAGTCTGGCAGGAAATTCAATAGTACATCAGCTCAGTTCTTGCCCCGCCGTCCTTGTACAGAATTAGGAAGGATAGAAGTAACATTTACCATACGAGCAGCAAGAAAATGAAAAGAGACAAAATCAATATAGAAACTGCAATGGATTTCAGCTTAGAATAAATGAAGATTGTTGAGAAGCAGAAGTTAGGTCAATATTGACTGATGGGTTTGATGTGGTTTGACAGGCAAAAATTGAGGGCTACAGCAGGACAGTTCCCATGATTTGAACTCCTGTCAAGCAAGCTGTTTTCTGACCTGCTGTCTTACACAGTTCAGTAAATTCTTACTTAGAAATGAGACATTATAATTGCATTTTATTTTGATACTTAAAATTTTTCACTTTCTTGAAAGGTAGATTTGCTTCGAACTAGAAGAGTGGCAACCATGCCAAGCAAAATAATGCTTCATGCTTGTCCTTTGTCCAAATGTAGCACTTTAAGACTTTTATGTCCTCAAATATCACTTTGTCTGTGATAAGTTAAAAGCATGACTAGGAAATGGCATCTCAAAGATAATATTTTAAGTCCTTGCAATTATCCAGTATTAAGAATGCAAATCCTTGTTATTCCCTAAGGTGCCTCCTTATGCAAAATTTTTTTAGCATTTCCTTTGAAATAGCACTGAAGTAGGAAACCTGGAAATGGCCATATTTAACTCCCTTTTTAAAATGTTAAATTCTCTGTGTTTGAACTCTTGATAGATGATCTATGTGCATTTGTGACAGGTGCCCAAGAGACAAACATAAATATTATCAGGTTGTTTTTCGGTTGTTTTGAATCAATTAAAATCTTGTTTGCACAGTGCTAGCCATAGATGTTTGGAAGTAAAAATAGGGAGTATGTACTGTCTGCTCTACTCCATGTACTTAAGCCAATCAAGGCCTTTTTCTCCTTGAATGTTAGAAAGGAAAATGAAGGTTAAGTGGATATACAAATAAATATGTAATAGAGTGGTGTATTATTAGAAGTACCTTTGTGAAAACTGGGAAAGAATCCCCCAACCCCCAAACCCACAGGTAGTTCTGGGAGAAAGGATGGAGGAGCCCTGTGGAGCATGAGGGAGCTGCCAGCCCCTCGTGGCTCTAATTCTGGTGGAGAGAGCACTGCTCTGCTCCCAGGGGTGTTCCTCCACACTGGGTTGGATTACCCACGTTTAAATTTTGACCAAGGAACTTTGACTCAGGCAGCCTGGCACAGGGCTTTGCCATTTGTTTCTGGGCAAAGAGGGTTATTTGCACATGCCCAGGAAAGCAGGGGTTCAGTCCCAACTCTTCCCTCCCTAATAAGCTCCCAGCCTTGCTTGCAGAAGGAATGAGCAGCAGTGATGCTGCAATCCAGAGTTTTCCAAGGGAATATAAGGAGAAATTGGATGGCCTTAACTTCAGAGCTTATGAATTGATTAAAGCAGAAGCTGAAGCAGTGCCCTGTGCTGTAAATCACTTGTGCCACCTAGTGAAACGTTAATGCCAGCTGCAAAACAACCTGATTTTGAAGGAGATGCTGCTCCTTATGTACAAACATCTAAAATACAGGCTTGTGGGAATAAATAACATTTTATTGTCTTTTGATTAAGTACCTCAATGGCACTTCAAAGAATTTAGGGGTATTTTTACAGCCGTTTCACACAACAGCATCTTCAGTGTGATGAGGTGGGTGTGCTTGGAATCGAAATGGTTTCAGGTACATTTTACCCTCTTTAGACAGTGGTTCCTTTGTCTGGATGGTTGTGCTGTAATAATCCTGCCGTTCAAAGTGCAAGATATTTATCTGCAGTTTTTCCCTGACAGTGACGAAGAATTTAAGTGAGAGAAGAGGAGGGAAATCCTCAGAAATGTCTCCAGTGCCCATGAGGTCAATTGGCCAAACCACGAAAGCCCATCAGCATCAACAGAACAGAATGAGTCAAGTTCTTCAGGTGCCAACTGTGAATTTGTACCCCAGCAGGAAAAAGGGGCTGACGAAGGAACATGTCACATTCAGTGAGTATCCAGTTTGAGATGGGAGTAAATAGGACAGAGGAGCTGTTTGTAGCTGGGTGCTTTATGTGAGATACCACTGTGCTTAATTTCATTAATTCACTTTAAAATAACTGGTACATATTACTGTGTTTTAAGAGAGCATGCTGTCTGCTTAGTCATTTGCACAGTGTTAAAGAACTTTTCTTAAAACAGTTAGCAGTGAGGTGCTGTCTCCAAATACACTCTTGCTTAATGAAGTCTAATATATTTAGGTGAAATCACTGAAACAAATCACATTTAATATTTTAACCTATGGGACACCATTTTAACAACAAATTATATTATGGTCAAACAGAGCAACATATATTATTAATTGCTCCTAGTAAATGTTATTTTTTTCTGTCTCTAACTTTGCTAATTGCAAACCAGTATATTATGTATTGAAAAGCTTTTAACCTATTTACACAACTGTTGTATTATTTAAAAGCCACAGTTCTGGGTTATTAAATAGTTAGCTGCAGTCAGTAAATGATATGAAATGATTTTATGGTACATTGTGCATCAATATCCTTTAAAATATCTCTGGAAAACAGTATATTGCAGCACATAAAATACTGTTTCCAGTTAGTATTTATTTCAGGTCTCCTCTGGAAAGCCCATGCAGTTTGAAATGTTCCAGGAACTTTGCTCAGAGATGTTTCTTCATTCCCAGGTTTTGTTCCGTGTTGATCTAACAAATTATTGACAACTTGAATTAACTCCTCAGCGCTGTGTTCTCTGCAAGGTGGTTCTGAGGGTGAGCAAGAAATACCAAATCCTCAGTGGGTTTTGCTAAACTGGCCAGGCTGTGGGTGGTGCCCACGAGTGTTGACTTGAGAACTCCTACTTGTGAAGATCCTGAGCTGAGCTGTTGGCTGTGACACACGTGGCTTTTAACACAGTCCCAACAGTGCACTGGGCAAGGATTCCCTCCAAGCTTTATCCTTCACACAGTTTTTTTGTTACCCAGTCCTTTGCCAAAACCACAACCAGTGTCTCCGTTGCAATGGTTCCTGTTAGGACCTGGATGTTTCAACACACTGCAGATGAGCAGCCAGCAGTGGCCACAGCTGCTCTGATCTAAATTTAAATTTAAATGGAGACTGCCTCCACATGCAGAATCCTCTGAGCATCTGCTCCTCTCTTTGCTGAATACTCTGATTGTTCAACATGGTGTTATTTGTAGTTTAAAGAGACAGCAATAACTCAAAAGAAGACAGTATCAGTAACTGGTTCCATTGTTTTCACAGGTACAGGCTCCCCACAGAAGTCATTAAGCTTGTCTGAGGAAGGAAGTAGTAAGAAACAAACAGATGACACCATGTCCATGGCATCTTCTTTGCACTCCAGCCCTCCTGCTTCTCCTCAGGGCTCCCCACGCAAAGGTAGGTGAGCTGTGGGGATGGTCCTGCTGTGTGTGACCCCAGGAGCTCCAGCCTGGGCTGAACTGAAACCAGGGTGGGCAGTGGCAGCAGTATTTGTTGATAATGGCATGTAAGAGCAACAGTAGTTTAGAATATTCATGTCAAGAATAGAATCGTGTCTTTCTATGAGTAGACATGATTTTCCAGTGTATTTATGTGTTTTGGCCATGAAAGTCACTTATTATTTAAAAAAGGGAACAATTGTTTCCTTAAAATATTGCCTAAGTGCTTCTGACAGAATTCCCAAAAGTGCTGACACCTGCCATCATGTCAGTTCAGATTTGGGTGGCCACTTAAAAAGATGGGATTCACAAACCTGGGGATTTCTGGAAGATGACAGTGTTGCACAGAAACTGCAGCTGTTGAGACAACTCCTGGTCTTGCCCAAGGTAGCTGGAATATCAGGTGATGAGATGGAGCTGGAGATAGAATGGTGTCCTAGTTCTCCAGGGCCCGTGGTTTAGGTTGCTGCAGAAGTAGTGGATCCACCTAAATCCTCGAGTTGCTGTTCATGTTTTTTGTTCTTGTGCACAGGGCTTTGTTTACATCCCTGTCTCTCATGATGCCCTGAGAATCCCTTTATTTTTGATGTCTTCGTCTTAAAAGACCTGCATCACTTCATCATTAGTCAACCTTGGATGGGAATTCATTTGAAATCTCTTAAGAGCTCTCAGTAGTCAGCCCAGGTGGTCGGTGTTGGATGGTGTAAGGCCTCTCTCCCTCCCTTCTGTGCTGCTTTGACTCACTGACAGCCCAAAGCCCCCGCGTTGGCATGGCATGGCATGGGGACTGCTGCATCTCCTCGCCCTTTTCAGGGGGAGATCAGGCTGGTCCATCCACTTCTGCCTTCACAAGACCCTGTTGCCTTTAGGAGAATGCCACTGATTTTACTTAAACACAGCATACCTATAAAAAGCTTTAATTACTTGGGTTGCAAAGCCTTGCTCCACTGAGGCTTCTGAGCATCGCTTATAAACTTGTTATTTTTGTTAGCTTTTCATCTGGTTCTTTGAAAATAATGTTTTGTTTCTTTGGGATTATTTCTTTAATTCAACTTGATTTTGGCATATTTTTAGCACTGATGTAATTTGATGGAGGTGATCTGTACCTTGTGTGTGTTGTGCTAACAGCTCATTGATCTAAAATTAGGTGCTTCACAGACAGCTGAAAGACATAATTTTAGGCATGAACACATTCCACTTAATCTTAGATTTCGTTTTCTTTTGAGCTATTACCCAAGTGATATGCAAATAGGATTGAAGAAAAAAGGGTTTAAAATTAGGGTGTTATTTTTGTTGTTATTTCTCTCGTCACTTACCAGCACCTGCCTGTGTCTGCTTCCTTGTAGTTGGCAACACTCAGAGGTCGGATAACTGCAGTCAGATGAACCTCTCTGGCTCTTCCTCCTCGCTGGCCAGCGAGACCAGCAACAAGACCAGTGGCCAGCGCAGCTACGGAATAGGTGGGGCTTATTTACAAAAGAAAATTCGGATGATTTGCCAAGGCAGAGACAGTTCTGAGAGAAGCACAAAGGCAGACAGAGAGGATAAGAGTGGAGAGGCAGAAGCTGAGTGTGAGCCCCCAAAAATAAAGGGATCACGGTTCAGAAGACTTAGGGAAAGAAGCTTCTCCAGGGAAAGGAAACCTTTTGCTGCGAAAAGGGAAGCAGAGCACACTGAAGCCTCAGAAAGGAGTGAAAACCAAAAGGACAAGGACAGTGATGCTCTCAGTATCTATAGCAACAGCAGTCTGTACACAACTCCCTGCCTGTGCACCAAGTCTAGAAGGAGGAGAAAGACCTTATGATTTGTTTTTAAAAGAAAGACTGATGTCCACGTTCTGTCAGATATCCTGAGTTTGTCTAAGTTATTTCAGCATTATCCATTTACATGTTTAAGCTGTTTAATGTTCTTCCCTTCCAGATATTTGTGTCAGTTCTTTATAGTTAATCACCCTTACAGTGCAGTGAAGACAATAATGTGAAGTTAGAAAATCAAGGAACAGGTACAGTGGCAGTTCAGTTACTTAGTGTGTCACAAATGCCAATGAAACAGTAAGTTCTGCAACGATTTCCTAATTAGACAGTCCCTAATATGATGTAAATCAAATGCTCACTTCTAGCACTGGTGTGTATTTGCATTGGTCACATCCTCTGCTGACCTTTTCAGCCCAGCAAACACTTGCCTTGAGTCTGTTTATACATATGTGCTGTTATTTAATGGCCCAACTTTCAGATAGTGTTCATCTCTTTAATGAAGAGGAGCCCTTTAGTTCTCCAGATCTTTGAAGTTCTTGAAAAACACTGTCTTAAAATTAAGACACACTGAGAGCATTTCATACTGCAGTACAATTGTGTAAATTTAAAGAGTCTCTTGAAAATGTAAAGAATATGAAATACTAGTTATTGTCAAAGGAAAGGAAACGGAAATTTAATCTTAAAAATGCTGCTCCTAATGACATTTTTCCATTCATAAGGTTCAGTCCTATAGTTTGATAATATTGATATTTAATGCTCATATTTGCTCTTAAAACCCTACAGCAGTGATCAAAGTTAAGCTGTGAAGTCTCTCAAATTATGAGCTCTATGCTCAGGGGCAAGTATGCCAGTGGCTCCAGATGCCATATTATATTATCTCTGATTTTTTTATGGACTTAAGGGCATCAGTCTTCTGTGTTTGGTTGTGTGTATCACTGGCATGGCTTTTACACTGCCTGGTCATTTCACATTTTCACCTAATGGATGTAAATATGTGGCAGCCCAGCTCAAAGGCACATGTGCAGGAATTTAGGGAAAAAAAAAAGCTTATCTGAGGTGTTGGATATATAGGGCTATATACATTATTTGAGTTGGAGATAAGTTATTTGTGGGTAAGGGTAGGCCAAGCAGAAAAAAAGACATTATAGATTCTGCTCTGAAGCTTGTGGGGTCTTCAACTGTTCCCATTCAGTGGGAACAGCACTGGAGTCTGGTCCAGCTCTTGCCAAAGTTGTATTTCCTGCCTTTGCCTCCTTCTCTGTTAGTTTTGGAGCAGATAATAAAACTGAAAAGGACCATATGGCTAATCCCTGGGTGCTAATTGCTGGCTTTTACCTTAGTCAGCGTCTCCTCCTCCACTGCCAAAATCTTTCCTGAGTCTTGCACGGCAGCAGGGCAGAGGGACAGTGGGAAGTGTGCTGTGTTTATACCAGAGGAGTCAGCAGGGTTGGAAAGATTGGCCCCCTCACTACTGATCCTGGTTAGGTAGGTTTAAGCTGCTGCTCTGGAGAGTGGTGGAGTTGCAGGTGGGTTGTTGGTGTCGCTGGACTTGCATCAGTAAATAAATTGGTGCTGACAGATACTTAAAGCTTCAGTACCTAAAATCCTCAGTGGACTGACTGTGTGCAAAGAGGGTGGTTTCTCTTCTAAATACCCGTGCTGTAATGCACGTGTCAAAACTTTGTTGCCATACCTACAAACTTGAGTTGCTCTTTGACCAAGGTGTCCTCTCCCCTCCTTAGGCTACGCCCTCATCCCTTCCACTAAATCCGACAACTTCTCCGACTCCAGTCACAGCGAGATCTCGTCCCGCTCCAGCATCGTGAGCAACTGCTCCGTGGATTCCATGTCAGCAGCACTGCAGGACGAGAGGGGCTTGTCCCAGTCCCTCATCGTGGTGGATTCCAGCGGGGCAGAGAGGAAGGAGCATCCCCAGCCGCTGGTGGATTATGGCCAGCCCTGCCCAGGGTGAGGTGCTGCTGGTTTGGGTTGGCCTTGGGGTGACGAAGGTTTGGCCAGGATGCAGCTCTGCTCTCCACCAGGGTTGTTAAGCTCTTGCTGGAAGCTGGAGAACTGGCTGCTCTGTGTGAGCCTGTTTTCCTAAGAAGCTTACAGTATCACTTGAGGAGACAAGAGCGTGTTCCCATCGTTGGGGTTCAGCTGGACATCTCTTGCTGGAGACTGCAAATGTGTTAAAAGCCAGGATGATACTTAGCAAATTAGTGTCGTGGTGAGAGACAGCAAAAGAACAACAGGAAATTATCAATTCTCTCTGAGTCAGCAGTGCCAGTCACTTACCATGCTCTAATGTGATTTTTAAGGATTTTTCTAATTACCATTTGTTGCTTAGGCAAACTGGAAGCTTTCTGCCCCTGACTTCCCGAGAGTTTCCACACAGGAGCTCTTGTTCCTTTGGTGCAGTGAGAATCTGTGCTGAAATGATGCTTTGAACTGGAAGTTTTTGGTTTTGTCTTACTAGATGTAAAGCCTCGATCCATAGGATTTAATATGTCTTAATGTATCTTGGGATAGCATTTCCTGTCCTCGGATGTCATGGATTCAAATACATGAGAGATGCTCCTTAATATTTCTAATTTTTCCAGCTCACAGAATCACAGAAGGGTTGGGGCCGAAAGGGACCTTAAAGATCATCTTGATCCAACCCCCTAAAATGGGCAGGGACATCTTCCACTAGCCCAGATTGCTCCAAGCCCTATCCAACCTGGCCTTGAACACTTCCAGGGGTGGAAATAAATGAGTAATTCCGTTTATTTCATAAGGTGAAAATGGGAATTTAAAGATGTGCTTCATTAAAAAAAATACCTCACTTTTCTGAAAGGCATAACACACACTGAGTTCACATCTTGTGGTTGTTCCTTTATTCCCTAGTTTCAGTGGGTTTTGGAGGGAAGAAAGTGGGTTTTATCCTAGAACTTATAAAGTTGAAAAGCAAGGAAAAAAACCACCTTGTTTGCACATATCTTAGAAACATTCCTTGATTTCACAATGTGTCAGTAAACTGCTGAGGGAGGGTGTTGAATTTTAATGTGCTGCCCATGCATTTGTTAACACACCCAGAAATAGTTAAGAGACTTGAATAATGTCTAGCAATCATATCTTCATGTATTCCAAATTCATGCAAACTTGGCTTTATTTTTACCCCCTTAATTATGCACTGAGAGCTATTAGAGCTTTCAACAGACATTTCTTGAAAAAAGAAATTTTGGACTTTGCTTTTCAGAATCTGTCGCTCCAGATCATTCCCACAAATGTTATTTATGTCCAATATTTCCTAATGTTCTTGAAATATAACTGCCTCCACTCTGTCTAAACAACTTGATGTTGCTGCCTGTGAAGGGTTTGGGTTTTATTCTAAATATTTATTTTTAGTTTATAAATTTAAAGAAAAAGGTGGCAGCAGCATGAAAGAAAGAGGCAGTTGCTCCTCTGCTTTCTGTCAGGCACTGTCTTGCTGTTGTTGGTAAAGCTTCTGTGGACCAGATTTATGGATCTGGGGTCAAGCCTGGAAATGCATGTTGCAAACTTATTATTCCTTGCTGCCTGTGCAGTGATGAGTTGGGAGTAGCAGTGTCTCCTGTCAGTGCTCCTGTGTGCCTTGACCTTGCTGCTCACCTGGTCCAAACCCACAGCTGCCTTTCAGACCAGGTGATGGTCTCTGAGTACATCACTCTTATTTTAAAAGCTCACAAGTGGTTTTTCCCGGTTTCTGTTGTTTTCAAATGCAGCTGGTCAATCACCAGGCCTGCCCTGATCAGAGGGATGGCTTTCACCTCCTCCATGAGCAGCGAGGAGATCTCCCACGAGCACATCACGGTGGAGGCAGCAGACAGCGGCCGGGGCAGCTGGACTTCGTGCTCCAGTAGTTCTCATGACAACTTCCAGAACATCCCCAACCAGAAGAGCTGGGATCTCCTCAACTCTTACCGTCACACCCAGCTGGACGGACCTATAGCTGAAGTGGATCCCACAAACTGTTACTCTGAGGAGGGTTATTTGTATTCCAAAGCCAACAGGCAGTCGAAAGCCAGCGTGGAGCTCGATCAGTCCCGGCAGAGCTGGGCCTCCTCCAGCTCCCTGTCAGACACCTACGAGACAAACTATGGGACAATTAAGCGCAGGGGGCTGGAGAACTCCCCGGCCGAGCAGACGGAGGTTTTGGACTCTAAACCAGGCGCTGATACAACTTACAAAACTGTTACTTCCAGTACAGAAAAAGGCCTGATAGGTAAGCCAAGCCAACAGCTTATGGAAGCTGCTACATCTGTTTTTCATTTTGATATTAAGTTGTTAAGAAATGACATCAGCAGGTCTGGGGCTGTCTGGCATGTTAAATTCAGCTTCTCCTGTGGTTGCAGTCAGAACACTACAGACACTGTGTTTTCAAGCCACCATTACAAATTTAGAGACAATGAACGAGCATACTTCCCCATCACTCTGTGGGGCTGAGGGAGAGCTGTCTTCAGGAAGATGTCAGGCAGTTCCTCTCTGTAGTGTGGCTTTTTGCTTTTTTTTGGAAGTGTACTCATCACTGTAGATGTTCCCCTGACAAGGAGCAGTGATCCCATGCTCCTTATGATACAGGCTTCCCAGGAATCCAGAGGGAAGAGCATGGCTGCTGAGTGCTGTGGAGCTCACCTGCCCCTCTGGGGCAGCTTTCATCCACAGGGCTTTGGTCTCTGGAAGCTCAAGGGCAAAGCAGATTCCTTTCCTGCCTTTGCTATTTTAAGCTGCCATTTATTTGATTATACAGCTGCAGTTTGGCTAAGTATGAAAGGAGAAAAACTTAAAACTTTCAGATATGCATAGTTCTATCAAACGAGATGTTCTACCCCTGGCCTAGTGAGCTCAGCAGCCAAAACTAAAGGAACTGTGTTAGCAACAAGATAAAACGTGGAATGCAAAGCTTTCTAAGACTGTGAGTCAAGGGTGCAGCTGACATGCAGTTTAATTACTGACTGGATTGCTGGAGGGGTTTGTGTTATCAAAGGTAATTGCCTCAACAAACATGGCAGGTAGGGCGGAGGTCTTGGATTGTGTTCCTCCTCCTTGGCTTTGGAGAAGAACTCGTGGTGGAGCCTTGCAGGAAACGTGCTCCCAGCTCAGTGCTGTGCCTGGGCTCTGCCCTCACAGCCTGCCAGAGCTGCTCCTGGCCCATTTCAGGAGATGGCATGTCCAGTGTGCAGGACACACTGTCTTTGCTCACAGCTCTTTGCTGCCTTTTTCATTCCGTGTCCGCTCCCCCTGTGCTGGTGAGGAGCCCTTGGCACGTGTGTGTCTGCTTGAGGAAAGATCTGATACAGACAATTCCCTGTTTGCAGATGCAGATCTGTGAGCTGTTCACCATCACACAATATGCCAAAGATATTTTCACTTTATTTCACCGTTTGTGAAATGTTATGAACTGGAACTTGACAGAGGGACACGTTATTCTTTCGTTACTGCAGTAGACTAAAGGGCAGCTCTAGAGAGCCTGAAGCTTTCTCCTTTGAAGAACATACCCACCCTCATCAACCCTCCTGCAAATCCAGCCAAGACTGAAGGTTGAGGGTCTGCTCAGAGTGTCCAGCCCTTCCCTTCCCCTACTTTCTCATAGAGACCCCCTTCAGTGCTAGTTCAATGAAAATAAATCCTGTAATTCAACAGTATAAATCTCTTCCTGTACCCATGTGTCTGCTAAACCCCAGACTGACTGAATTTGGTTTGGGTTATTTTACTGCCAGCCCAAGTATGAACTGAGACCTTCAGCCATGAACCAGCTGATACCAAAACCTGGAATCTCACAAGTCTACAACACAATAGGAAATATACTCCTTTATTTTTCATCCCTTCCCATTCTTCTAAGATAAGAAACTATTACAGTTGCTGAAATAAATTAAAATAATGAATGTGCACTGTTTAAAATGGATCCACAGGAAGAATGCAAATTCACTCAACTAACAGACTTTAAAAAATTATCCTGGCTTGGAAACTCTCCTGTTGCAACATGTCCATGGAAAGAGCCCAATTTAACATGCACATGAGCCCCAGACCTGGGCTGGGAGGGAGGGGAGGCAACTTGAGAAAATTTAAATTTTGGTTTGAGAGCCTTTGGGACCTGAGCAGGGCTGGAAGGGAGAAGATGAATGATGTGGCATGGACATAGCAAATAGGTATTATTGACTGGAGCCTTTTCATGACTGCACAAGGTGTAATGCAGCCTTTCCAAAGGCTGTTTCCATGACTGTTCCAGGTTGTTTCTTACTTGTAAACAGACAATATAGTTTTAAGATAAGGGTACAGAAGAAAACAAAGCCAAAAAAAAAAAAGACATTAAAAGTGTGGATGGGATAAGCCATTATTAACTGTTGGAAAAGCTAAAATAATGAATGCAGGCTCAATGTACCTTTTGCCTCACAGGAGCAGTTTTATGTACTACTGGCTTTTTTTATTCCCATAGCATAGCTGTATGGTTTCATGTCTTTATACACATCAGTTGATACAGTGATATTTTATTCTAATTAGTTTCTGTTAAGCCACTGACCTCTGTTTTGGTGATGGAGTGGATGTTGGAAGTCAACCAGCAGTTCTTGCTGTGCAAAGTGACCTGGGGCCAGTTGCCTTACTTGCTTGTGTTTCAGTTCCCCAGCCTGTAGCAGTGGCAGCAGACGTGGCTGTGCTGGCTCTCCATCCCCAGAGAACTCTGCAACACCCTGGGGTGCAGTGGGGCTGCAGGAGTGGGGATTTACCCTGGGGTGCAGTGGGGCTGTAGGAGTGGGGACCCACCCCGGGGTGCAGTGGGGCTGTAGGAGTGGGGACTCACCCTGGGGTGCAGTGGGGCTGCAGGAGTGGGGACTCACCCTGGGGTGCAGTGGGGCTGCAGGAGTGGGGACTCTAATGACAGCTGTTAATTGCAGTCTGAATGCAGAGAAGCCTATAGTCCTGTTCCCACTCAATTGGCATCTCACCTCAGGAGTTCTTGGGTTCTTTTGCTACTCTGACTTCTTAAAATAAGCAGAAAGCAGAAATGAAAGCACAAGTACCTGCTGCTGTCGTTATAACCGGTGTTTCCGCATTTGCGTTTTGTTATCAGTTTCTGTTTTGCCATTGTAACATTTCATGATTTTTTAACGTTTTGTTTCCTTTGTTTTCTTCTTTAACATTTCCATTGCTTATTTCTTGTGCCAGTGTACTGTGTCACCTCACCTAAGAAGGACGATAGGTATAGGGAGCCACCGCCCACCCCTCCGGGATATATGGGGATTTCTTTAGCGGACATAAAGGAAGGATCGCCCCACCACCCACACCTCAAACCTCCAGACTATAGTGTGGCAGTGCAGAGGTCAAAGATGCTGCACAGTGACCTCTCTAGACTTCCAGCAGCTCCTCTGGGTGGTGACTGTCTCTCCTCGAGGATGCCCCAGTGGCACGGCCGGCAGCCGTCCAGCCCCAAACTAGCAGATATGCCTGACGCAGATAGTGAAGAGGATGGTATGTGCAACACCTCAACTGCTGGGGAATCTGGGCTCACAACCACCTTCTGGGCTTTCTCTTGGGTCATTCTTGGAGATTAAAACTCGATTAATCTCGGAATATACAGGAGTGTTTGCATGGCTGCGTGCACATGCACAGCTGTGTATATCATGCACGGCTGGGTGCATGTATATACAGGTTTAAATGAAAAGGAATGCCTTCCCTTCAGAAAAGCATGTTGGCACTGAACAGATTCTAAATTATATATAAATAAATATATATATATATATAAATATACATATAAGATCTTCCAAAGTACAACTGAGACACTTCAGAGCATGGACATGTCATTTTATTTTTTTTTTTTCTTTAAAATTTGTCCCCTCTCAAACAGTGAAGGGACACTGACAGGCTACAAATTACATGTGGAAAAACTCCAGCCTCTCTGGATTGATTAAGTGATGTCCCAGTGGTTTAGGCTGGCATCAGGATGATGTCCTGAGTGATTTGGATTTGGTGAACTCCTTTCATTCATGTGTGCTGGTGTTGAGCTGCCTTATGCCTCAACAGATATTTTTGGAGATCAAGTTTAAAAATACTGAACAAAATAATAGTGAACTTCTGTTCTTTTGAAAAGTGCATTTGATGAAACCTGGGTTCTCTGCCCAACTTGACCTGACAGTGTCTCTTCCAGTTCAGTTTTTTTATGACCTTGTTTGAAGCAACAGCCAGTGCTGCCAAGCACAGCATCTATGGGGTGACCAAAATGTGAGAGGGTTTTCTGATAAAGACTGCTCTTAAATTGTGTCAAAACTAACTTCAGGGCAGGGGAATTTCTGCTTAATTGTTTATTTATATGCTGATTTGCTTTTAATGCCTGTGCACCGATGTGATCTCTCTGTACCCTTTGATAGTGAACTCATTTTTTATTAGAATGTTTGATCATTTCCTTCCATTTCAGTCTGGTTTAAAATGAGCCTGGATTTAGATTAAAACAATTTCTGATGCAAAATGATCGTATCTTGACCCTTTAAAATATCTGAACAGTATTTAACATATATATTAGTACCACAGTTCAAACTTACAGTAAACATAAAATTGCCCAGCATTACTTCAGTTGTGTTTTTGATGTAAAAATAAGGAAGCAATTGCTTCAAACATTTTAATCCAAATTTTTCTAAGCTAAATTTAACCATACACTTTTAGAGACACCTACTTTACTATTTTTAAAGTGCTTGGTTAATTTTATTTGGGATAAAATGCTCACTGCATGGGAATTTGCTGGCTTTTCTCCCAAATCCGTAGCTTTTGGCCTGTTAGGAGCTGCATGCTGGTAATTCTTGGAGGATCTGGGATTTTGTGTTTTGCAGTATGTCTTTATCGTGTGGTGATCACACCTCAGACTGCAGAAGCTGTGGCTGCCCCATCCCTGAGAGTGTCCAAGGCCAGGTTGGACAGGGCTTGGAGCAACCTGGGCTAGTGGAAGGTGTCCCTGCCCATGGCAGGGGGTTGGAATAGGATTCTATAAGGTCCCTTCCAACCCAAGCCATTCTGTGATTGAGGATTTGATAAATGGTGCTGTGGAACATGCAGTGATCAGTGATAAAGACAGTGAGAACACGCTGCTGAAGGGGTGGAGTCGTCCCAGACCCACTGTGGTCACGTCACTGGGGGCTGCTCTGTGGGCACTGCTGCAATGACTGACCCTGTCTCTTCTCTTGTTTTGCAGAAGATGAACAAGTGTCAGCAGTTTAAGCGCTGGGCTGTTTGTGTGAACCACTCTCAGCCCGAGGGATGTGGGGACAAGGACCTCGTGGTTCTGTTAGCGACCGCTAACGACTTGCTGCTACTGACCTCAGACCTTTGCCCCTGTCCTGGACGAGATGGAACGGGTTGGATTCTCCTCTCTACACCCTCCTTCCCTCTGCCACCCCCTAAGCAAGCTCTTTCTGCCTGGGAAATAGGAAGTCACATTCCAGGAGTGTGCTGACTGCCCGGATACCAGCACTGGTACCCAGAGATGGACCGAGCTTGGGGCATGGGGAGGACCAGTTGTCACCACCACTTGAAACTCAAAAGCATTCTTCTGTATGATACCATGTAATCCTTTGGTAGTTTTCCATTGTCCTTATTTTCTACATGACCATTAGAAATCTGAGAGTGTTATTTTATGAACTTCGAAAAAAAAAATTATATCAAAATGTCAGCAAAAGCAAAGGACATTGCTGAAGTATCTGAAAATAATTTATTAATTTAAATCTTTTTTTTAAATGGGAATTTCCTTTTATTTGTGTTGGGAGTGCTCTGGTTGGCTAATATAAATGTTTAGTCAATGTGACGGTAAATTAGCTACACATCCACTGTTGTGCTCTCAAAATAAACACAGAAAACTACAAGTGGGCCATTACCAGGTGCAGAAATCCATGGATTTTAGTGGGTTTAGATTTAATATAAATAGAGCCCAAAGCCCTGCAGAGCAGGGGGTGTCAGGCCCTGCTCCCCTCCCACGTGGACCCAGCAGAAACCTCCTGCCCTCCAAGGATTTCTGGAATTATTGTAGCTGCCAGCCAACTAAGGCAACAGTTGGTGCTCTCCTCCCCTGTGAAGGAACCTTTGCAACGAGGAAGCTCTTGGGGAGCATTTTGGGGGGGTCTGAAGCTTTCCCAAAAGAGCTTTACCCAGGTTTTGCCCTGCGGAGTTCAACATGCAAAACGTGTTCTAAAAACCAAAACTCAGCCGTGTGTTGTGGGTTCTTTAAGATCATCCCACACGTCCTGGCCTTTTCCCAGAGTTGCACAGGATTTAGGTACAAAGGTTATCTTTGGGGAAAAAAAAAAAAAAGAATTATAAATCACCTACATTTCACAGTAAAATTTGTGAAACTGAGTATTAAATGGCATAATGCTTATATAAGAGCATAATGCATTTTATGATGGGTTAAAAAACCCTATGGTTTTTTAAATACAGATGATCTCAAACCATTTTATTTTAAATCCTAGTTAAAAATCCTGGTGGTGTTGATGTCAAAGAGAGTTTGACTTACAGCCAGCCAGTATTAACCCATGATACTCTAGTTTGACTGTGGTCAAAAAAATTGCTTCTTTGATTTTGCTTTTAGCCAGCCAGAGCTCAGAGGGGTAGAACTGGAAATACCTGCAGGTTCTTTTCCTTCTTTTTCTTTTTTTCTTTCTCTTTTTTCCTTTCTTTTTTTTCTTTCTTTTTTCTTTCTTTTTTCTTTCCCTTTTTTGGTTCTTTTTTGGTTCTTTTTTTGGTTCTTTTTTTGGTTCTTTTTTTGTTTCCTTTTTGTTTCCTTTTTGTTTCCTTTTTGTTTCCTTTTTGTTTCCTTTTTGTTTCCTTTTTGTTTCCTTTTTGTTTCCTTTTTGTTTCCTTTTTGTTTCCTTTTTGTTTCTTTTTTGTTTCTTTTTTGTTTCTTTTTTGTTTCTTTTTTGTTTCCTTTTTGTTTCTTTTTTGTTTCTTTTTTGTTTCTTTTTTGTTTCTTTTTTGTTTCTTTTTTGTTTCTTTTTTGTTTCTTTTTTGTTTCTTTTTTGTTTCTTTTTTTGTTTCTTTTTTGTTTCCTTTTGTTTCCTTTTTCTTCTTTTCTCTTCCTTTCTCTCTCTTTCTTTCTGCACATGGCACCCCATTCTAGTGTTAAAATCAGACATGAATGTGTGAATATGTATTTAAACATTTAATTGTAAATCTTTGTTGTGATGTTTACAGCCTAAGCTAGAAAGATGATGTTTGTCATTTTTACAGTGCCTCAAAACTGATTTCTATATCCATAGTCGTGAAGAGCTTTAAGGGTTTTTTTTTTAACCTGTATGTGTGCAGGGGTGCGAGGTGAATGCAACACTTTTGGAAAATGCCACAAGTACCAAAAACAGCCCAAAGCCTTTGATGTGCTTTCCCCATAGCAGCTTGGGGCTGGTGCAGCCAGGTGGGCGTGTGTGACCCAGGCTGTGTCTGCACTGGGAGCAGTGCCAGGTCCAACATCACCTGGAATGTCCCTGTACGGATCGGAATTGGGGAGGTGGAAATGAACAGTGATGCTGAGGAGGGCATGCCTAATTTAGAGCTGATTGGTTGGCTGTATGACTTTTTGGCACAAGTATCCGAGAAGCAAATGACTGGAAAAAATATATTAAAGTCCACTTGAGGTATAGAATAATGAATGCATTTTGCTTTTTCGGGGCCTTAATGAATATAATGAACCTGCCCAGGCCTTAATGACTAAAGATTAATGCAAGTGTCAAAGCAATGCAGGGCAGAGCAAGTGTTTCCAGCACATGGAATATTGATAATAGAGCTGTTAAGCTGCTGTTTCTGTGGGATGTAAATCCAGGCCTGAGCCATCCCACTGTCAGCACATGGAAACAACAGGCTGCGTGTTCCGTCAGGAAATGGTCTGCCTTGTGCCAGGTAAATCAAACCACACGGTTCCACGGCCTCCAGGGGGTGAGCTGAGCCGATTTCAGCCTGTTGAACAAAAGTGTCAGGGATGGGGGCTGCTAGAGTGGCTTCCTTTTCCCCCAGAACCCAGCAGTGCTGCCTTTGAGGACACAGGGAAGCCCCTTAGGGGAGTGGGGTCGAGGTCTCCTCTGGCAGTCAGCAAGAGCAGCTGAATAAATCACCCATCCAGACATGGTGTTTGCACATCAACAGCCTCAGTCTGTTCCACAGGGCTTGGCAGCACACTGAAAAGTTCTGAAATGAGTTGAAAGTCTTGCTAATCATATTTTCCTAATAGCCAATACAGCTGGTGTACATAAATCATGCATAAACGATGGACAGATGAGCTACTCCTGCTCCTCCTGCCTCGCACAGTGTGGCTTCTCTGCTGCTCCTTGCTGGGCTTTCTGTTTGTTTGTTTGTTTTTACCTCGACCGATCACATTGATCGGGGCCGAGAGCCAAATGTACCAAATGTAGTGTGTCTGCTGTGGGTTTGAAGAGACACTATCCCTTTTTTTGGTGATTCAGACGGAATTAAAGTGGTGGTTGGTGCCTGCTGTGCACTGCCTTACCCCAGTGATGTCTCTGGGTCACAGACCCTGCCGTGGTCCCTCTGCCAGGTTCCTCTAACTCTGGGGGTGGTGAACAGTTCGGGTGCCTCACATCGTGTTCTTCCACTGCCATCCCTGGGTTTGCTCCCTCCCTGCTCGTTGTTTGCTCTTGACCTGTGGGTGAAAGATGTGTTTCAGATTCCTGTGATTTAAGCACACTCTGTTTCGTTATAAAAAACTTCCAGCTGACTCCTGAGAAAGCAGTGTGGTTCGGTAGAACTGATTTGGCCTCTCCAGTTGCAAAAAACGGGTAAAATGTGATCACTGAGCCTCTGAGCACCAGGTTCATCTCCCAGATACACAAAAGAATGAAAAGGCAATGACTGGATGTTTGCAGTTCACATTTTTACGGTGTGGACAGATTTGGAGTGCTTGCCAACAGTGGCTCCTTCCTTTTGCCTTTGCTCAGATGAGGAGTTTGTAGCAGCAGCCTCACCTTGAGTCCTGTGTGCAGTTTTGGGCACTACAATATAAAAAAGACATTAAGCTGTGAGAGAGCACCCAAAGAAGGCTGTGAGGATGGTGAAGGGTCTGGAGGGGTTCTGTGAGGAGCAGCTGAGGGCACTTGATTTCTTCAGCTGGAGGAGACCGAGGGGAGACCTCTTTGGGATCTTCAGCATCCTCCTGGGGGGCAGGTACAGATGTCTTGGCTCCCAAGAGCAGTGACAGGGCTCGAGGGAACGGCTGGAGCTGAGTCAGGGCAGGGGCAGGTTAGAGATCAGGAAAAGGTCTGTCACCTGCAGGGTGCTTGGGCACAGAACAGGCTCCCCAGGGCAGTGGGCACAGCACAAGCCTGGCAGAGCTCCAGGAGCGTTTGAACAACACTCTCAGGCACAGGGTGTGACTTTTGGGGTGTCCTGGGCAGGGCCAGGACTTGGGCTCGATCCTGATGGGTGCCTTCCAGCTCAGCAGGTTCTGTGGTCCAGGGTGAGTGATGGCTCAGTGGGAGCTGCTCAGGGCTGGGATGGGGTGTGCTGGGGCTGCTGGCACTGCCAGGGGCACAGGGTGTCCCCAGGGCTGGACCTGCCAGCAGTGCCACTTCCAGAGGAGCCTGTGGGGCATCAGGGGTGTTGCAAAACCTCTTTCATCACCTCCCAGGTAATTTTATCACAGACAACAGTGGAAATACGACCCTGTCATTCAAGTTTTTATAGAACAGTCGAATTTTTAAAGGATGAACTTACCACTGCCTTTGCAAAAAGACAAGAAAAAAGGGATACTCTCTCTTTAGAAAAGCTTTACACATTATATTTTAGAACGCTTGTATAGAGGGTAATCTTACCTTGAATTCCCAACCCAGCTTTTGCTTTTGTTGTGCTTTTGTTTTACCTTTATTTTTGATATACCTGGAATGCAGTTTAGCTTGGTATTAATTAAATTCTAAATATGTGAGCATATTGGCAAAACTGCACAGATGTAATGATATTCCAATAGCAATTGTACTGCACAAGTCAGTGATTGTAAAGTATTCTGTAACAAGCAATGTTTGTCTCCTATTTTTTGATACCTCTTACACTTATGTCTTTTAGAAAGACAGTGCCTCTGTATGCTTTTTGTATTTTTACTGAGTGATTGTAAATATTTGTTATATTTTTGGTTAAGAGAATGTTTAAAAGTACTGTTTATTATCCAATCTATTAATATGTTGGAATCAATAAACAATCTACATATATTAATTGTTTTTAGCAGTTCTTTTCTGGCAATCAGTGGAGGATGGGACTGAGATCATCCAAAAGGTAAGCTATGTGGGAATGTTATGGAGAAATACATTTTTTTTTAGGGAGCAGGACACTTGTGTAAGGGTTATGTGCTGGCAAGCAGAGTCTGCAGTTTTTTGTCCTTTTCTCCCCTGGTGCAAATGGCATTTTCCTCCCTCCTGGACCTGCCTGTACGTGGGGATGTGGCCACACACGTTCTGCCTGATCAGGTGAGAGCTGAGCCCTGTCTTCACCACCTTATTCCCCCCAGTGGGGCTTTTCAGTTTTAGAACCACAGAACCACAGGCTGGTTTGTGTGGGGAGGGACCTCGAAGCTAATGCAGTTCCAGGGACGCCTTCCATCACACCAGCCTGGCCTTGTTCTCAGAGCCTCCTTCAAAACCATCCTGGTTTTGTCCTCGGGAGTCTTTGACCTCGGGCAGTTTCTGGGAGGTGGTTAGGATTTTAAATTCTTGTGAGAGAAGGGAAGCAGAGCTGCCACAAGAGGCCAGCATTGCCCGTGGTTTGTGAGCTGGGCAGGTCCATCCCTGCCGTGCTCAGCCAGCACCCATCACCCTGCCGGGTGGCACTGGGGACATTTGGGGTTCCACCTGTTGCTCTGGGGCTGTGGGCTGCCCTGGGCAGTGTCTGCAGGGACACTGTGGCTCCCAAAGCCATGCAGTGCAGGAGGACACAGGGGCTGGGCAGGTCTCTACAGGGTGTAAAATCAAATTGAGAAGAAGCAGTTCCATTAGCAAGCAATCTGCTTAATGAGTTACTTGGATTTTGGTCTCCTCTTTTACCTTCCTTTGCTTACCATGTGGTGGGAACATAACACATAATGTTCAGCATCACTCTCCATCCTCACATTCCACGTCCAAGCCTTTGGATTAGACCTGCTGTTGTTGGAGTGGTGTGAGCTTCACACTCCCTGTGCTCAAGGGCTCCTGAAGCAGCACTCAGGGCATCAAACAGCTGCTGACCTAAACTTGAGTGTATTCCCTGGGGACTTTTTCTGATTTTCTGGAGAGTCACTGTCAACCCAATTTTATTGGGAAGAATTAGCAACTGCCTGTTAGACTGCAGCTGTGCCGTGTGTTATGTGCTCGTGGAGAAGTTAAGAACTGTCCCTCCAAATCAAATATGAAAAGAGAGATGAATTCCCTGTCCCCCCACAGAAGGCTGCTCACCCAGCAGGTGCTGCCTGCTGGAAATGTGCTCGCTCTTTGCCATAAGGGAGGAGATGCACTGGTGGCAGTGGGGTCACAGCTCCAGGTGTCCCTTGGGGAGGCTGTGGATTCTGGGAGGGCTCTGCAGGCAGGGTCAGTCAGTGCTTTCAGCTACTTGTCATTTGTTAAGAGGGTAAAATGTGCTGGAGAGACCATGTTTAAGCACCACGAGGGGTGAAACCTGTCCCTGCGCCGCCCTTCTCTCTGGGTTGAGTTCCTGCACTTTTG